ATATAAAAAGTATTATATTTTTTGTTGCATTACTTTTGTCAAAATAAAATTGACATTTGTCAATTTCATTTGTTCATTCACACCCTAGTGCGATGGCATGCATATCAAGGATAATTATTGTAAAAAAATATACTTACAAATCAGATAAAATCAGTGTAAAGTCTGTCAATATATCATAGTTTAGAATAGGCTGAAATAAAAAAAACAAAATAAGTTAAAATTACATTGAAACCGTCATTCACAAATAAACCAAACTTATAATCCATTTAAATCGTTTTAAATGTTTTTTAATTTTCTATTTGATTAAGTAAAAATATACAGGGTACCGTGTTAATAACCTTTTTATTTTAAATGTAACACGTGTTACATTTAAAATAAAAAGGTTTATATTTTTCATAAAAAAGTCTATTTCTATACATTGACATTTTAAATTAGGCATAAAACAATAAAAATTTCATCAAGATTTATTTGACATTTGCTTTTAACCATAGAAAATACTTTCGCCAATATAAGTCATGGTTTACTAGATTTGTTTTTTGGCCAATAAAATCATCTAAAATGTAAATCGGTCGATATAATTTATATCAGTCGTTAACGACTGATTTAAAATATGAATAAAAATAGACAGTATTTTTGTTTGTAAATATATATGAAAAAATAAATTCAAAAGGTAAACATAACTATAACAAAGATTAAATTAAAAAATAACATTTTTTAAAGATAAAATTACTACCATGTTAATTATATAAAATATCTTTGCTGTTTTTTGTCTGAAAAGCTGAATACCTACTTGAAATCAATTGATTTATAACTTTCTTTAGTTTCATTGTAAAATAATTACCCCTAACATTGAACTTGGGTGAAAATATTTATTGATTTATTTTTTAAATTAAAAAACATAAATGTTTACTTTTTAGCTCCCTATTTTCGAGACACCCCGTATAAGACAATAAAACCTATGCAAACTCATAAAACGTTAAAACATTGCAAAACACTGTCTCAAACAATGCGGAAATAAAACCACAAAAATAAGATTTCGTTTTGCGAGAAAAAGGAAAACTTAAAAAAAAGTATACGTAGGTATACGTGAGAGGATTATTATTGAGTACTTGCTATTTAAAACGACAAGATCTTCTTGTGAAGGAATCTGACCGGAGACCGGGTTGGAATGTTTACGCCCATTTCAGATACGTAAAATTCCAAAATATTCGTGCACGGACTTTTTTATTATTATTAATTTTTTTATGGTGAGTAACGACCCTGGCCCAAAAAAATACGTCCACAATACGGAGTTTTAGTGAAAAATCATAAATTGTTTAAATTTAATTTTAAGCAAATACCTATACTACACTCAGGCAAAATAATCGATCCACACAAATTTTTGATGAATTTCAATCGCAAATAACTTGTTTATTTGATGTCGGATTTAAACGAATATTAAAGAATATTGTAGATAAATTAAAGGACAATCGCTCACATTTTAAAAAATTACTAAGAAATAGACGCACGTTTATAATATACAGATTTAAACAAAAAGATGTTTTTGCCATAAGTTTAAGACACTCTGTAGAGTGGCAAAACCGTATATTAAGTTTTATTTATCAAGTCACATCTATTCTTAACAGTTTTGTTTTTGGTTCACCTCGATATATTTATTTTTGTGGAAAATATGGATTTAAAAAAAAAACATTGCAATTTCCAATATTTTTCTGTATGAAGAACCAAGGTTGCTATGGTCCATCCATAGCCTATGGAGGATGACAGTGACAGTTTTGTTGAATCATCCCATACTTGGACATGTCATATACATCTTTCAAATTGTTTTTTGTAAATTAATGTGTTAATTTTGAGGTGCCTTCTTACTTTTAAAAATGTCTCCAACTGATGTTGCCCTTTGTACTTTACTTCTTGTGACGTTTAAAACACTTGCCACGTAATACTGTGACCGTCCATCCTGGATTAAATTAATGGGTAAAGTGAGAAGACACCTCAAAATTTAAACATTAATTTGCAAAAAACAATTTGATAGCTTTGTATGACCAAGTATGGGATGATTCAACAAAACTGTCACTGTCATTCTCCATAGCATATGCATATGGATGGACCATAGCAACCTTAGTTCTTCATACAGAAAAATATTGGAAATTGCAATGTTTTTTTAAAAAATCCATATTTTCCACAAAAATAAATATAACAAGGTGAAACAAAAACAAAACTGTTAAAAATAGATGTGACTTGATAATTAAAACTTAATTTAGAACAATATACGGTTTTGCCACTCTACAGAGTGTCTTAAACTTATGGTAAAAAACATCTTTTTGTTTAAATCTGTATATTATAAACGTACGTGTATTTTTTAGTAATTTTTAAAATGTGAGCGATTCTCCATTAATGTATCTACAATATTCTTTAATATTTGTTTAAATCAGAAATCAAATAAAAAAGTTATTTGCGATTGAAATTCATCGAAAATTTGTGTGGGTCGATTATTTTGCCTGTGAGTGTACATATTACATTTTAAAATTAGCAGATTTTTTGATTATATAAAATATATACCCACACATAGGTATATGTATATTTTTTAGATATCTATAAGACGTCAAAAAAAAAAACGGCTAAATGATGTCTTTTATATATCTTAATGAAATCTTTTGAACGTCAATGTATTAAACATCTTTTAAAGGACATTTTCGGAAACCCTGTATAAAATGATTCATACCCAGACTGCAATGAAGGTTCGAAAATATTCCAGGAATATTCCCTATAGCTTAGGAATAATCCGCTTCATTCTAGGAATATTCATTGGGAATATTCCTAGAATGATCCTCTAAAACTTCCAAGCATCATCTAAGAATATTCCCAGTGAATATTCATTAGTTTAGTTGCAGTACCTCTCACCGTTGCTTACGCACGCTTGATAACTATATATACCGATAGGTTAATAATATCAGTTGGAGATGTGCGTCTGTGATGGCAGCCAAACAATGATTAGAGTTAGGCTGATCTACTCAGTAACTCAATAATGGCTATACTTAAGTTCCTATAAGAGGCAATAAGGGCTGGGAATAATCCCCAAATTATATCAAGGAATATTCCCCTAACAATCCTTGAGTCTTCTGCAGGCAGATACATGGAATATTCTTTTTATGATGCCTGGATTAACCAAAAAGCGGACATTTGATTATGCCAGGAATATTCCTGGGAATATTCTGGGACGCTTGGAATATTCCTGGGAATATTCCTGACATGTGCAGGGAATGTGATTTTGCGGTCTGGGTACATGGTATCTCATTATTTAGGTAAAAAAAACATTACAATATTATTTTTATTTAATTTAATAATAGTGATTCATTTACAAACAAATGAATCATGCATGATCATGACCATGATCAACCATGGTTTATTTAAAACTGGAAAATTTGAAGTTATTGAAGAAAAACAGATTAAAATTTAACGCATTTGCCGTTTTCAAAGGATAATAATCATTCAAGGTCAAACGCTTTAAAGACATTTCAATTCAAAGCTAATTTGTTATTTAAATTTAACAATGCCAAAGCTGGGCGCGAATAAATAAACTCTCAATTAGGCAAATTCTTTAACAAATATTTAAAACATGTTTATTTAGGTACTTATAATTGTCCAAAAAATATAAACAATACCTATGACATTTAATTAAACCATAAAAAAACATTAAACTAAACATTCCCATTTCAACAAGAACCGTTTTTATTAGGTATTTCAAAGTGTAACGACCGAAAATAAATCCTGGAAGAACATAAAAACATAACATATATGTTTGTATTAATGTTATGTTTTTCAGTGCACATAAAATGCTACTTAATTAAAACACGTATAAAAAACAAGATTAACAAGAATTAATGTTTCTGCAATTATACTTAATGAAAATATCCTTTGCAATTATACCTAGTTGTGCACTTCACTGTGCTAAAATTAGAAGTAAATAATAAAAAAATAACAATAACCTTAACCATGTTATCCAAAAAATATTGGGTTGGTATCTAATTTTTGTATCTAATGTTTGTTGTTTTGACATTATTTTAAGTAAGAATTAGGTACTTACGTTACAATATTTTCAAAACAAATCGTTGGAATTCATGTGGTTCTCTAAATATCGAACAATTGGAACAATTTGGAACAATTATCGCGATTAATCATTAATTAAATATTATTGAAACAGTTAGAACATAAATTTTATTGTTTAGGTACAAACGATTTTTTTCCTATTACTTTTATGATTTATCTAGTGGTACGATGTGATTTTTTGACAGTTCACCCCCCAATCAAAATAAAAATTATTAAATGCCTACTAGATCTAAAACCTAGGATGATTATTTAAGATATTTATACCTTATTTTTGATTAATATAAAACCCAAAACAATACTTTCATTTAATCACAGCTTACCTGTTCAAATATTTATTGTCAGCACACTTAAACACGCAAACACCACAATTTTCGATCAAACACGTATCGAAAAATCTACGCGTTAAATTCAACACGAACCGATTGAAATCTTGAATTTGACTGAGCTGAAATTTCTAGTGCCACCCTGTGCTCAGCTGTCAGTGGAGTAAACAGAAGAAAATTACTCGGCGATGGAGGGGGTAAAGCTTCTGATGGGAAAAGCTTTATGTTCTGTGGGCCATGTTGTCGGATTGTGCAGACACAAGATTTTAGGTTTAGTTATTGATATTTGAATGTTTTTCTTGGATTTATTCTGTGTATTTGCCAAATACTATTTGGACAAAATAACCAATTTAATAGTAAATAAATTGAGAATAAACGTTTATACATATGCAACTAGGATTACATGTTACAAAATAAATTTATTTTTAATTTGTTTATAGGTTTTAATCAATAAATATGTATTAAATAGTAAAAAAACAGTATTAAATCATTATTATATTATATTTTAAAGATATTAAGGGCGATATTTTGTAGTACATTTGAACTAATTGTGTTATCTTTAAACTACAACCAGTTGCATTTGACAGTGACGTTTATTTTTGCGGTTAATATTTTTTATAGATTTTTTACCCCTAAAACGTATTTTTCACGTTAAAATTTAAGCTAAAACTATTTTTCAACAAAACTATGTACAGTTTTTGATAAATTCGTAAACAATTAGTGAGTAATTCTAGTTTTTATATGTAAGGTGTGTCTAAGGAAAAATGAGTAATATACAACTTAATTTTACCGGTGATTTGCACAAAAAATTCCTTCTTAATTTCTTTAAGTCCTTACCCTCGTTTTATGCACATTTAGAATCCAACAGGTACACTTTAGGATATCATTTTATATTTTTTCCTTATATTTGTATTTTTTAGGCTAGTGCTAGCATTTTTTAGTGCTGCAGGTTTAGAAGTATTGGGCGAATTAGAATCCTTAAAACCTGAGAAAAAGGAGGCTTTTGTACAGTGGTTATATTCCCTACAAGTCGTAGATGATAAAAGTATTATTGATCTTGTAGTACTCAATATTTTTGTTATCATTTCTTCTTGTAGATAAAGTAAGCGGATTTCAAGGTACCTCAATACTTAATTCTGCAGAAAATAGGGGTCAAAATAGTGATTATCGATGGGGGCACATTGCAACAACCTATGCAGCCCTATGCACTTTACTAGTCTTAGGAGATGATTTAAGTAGAGTTAATAGGAAATCCATTATTGAAAGTTTGTTTTTAAATGTTTGAAATATTATTTTTTATTATGGTTTATTTTTTTAGGTCTGAAATATTTACAATTGGCTGATGGTTCTTTCAAAGCCGCTAAAGAGGGTACTGAAGATGACATGAGGTTTGTTTACTGCGCAGCCGCAGTGAGTCACATGTTAAATGACTGGAGTGGAGTCAATGTAGATAGGATGGTTGATTTTATTATTAAAAGCATAGTAAGTAAATTATTTTATTTTATTTTGATTCTACTAAATGCATTTAATCTAGTTAGTTTGGCTTAAAAAAACCCTTGTCAAATCAAAAATCATCATGGCCATGTGATAGGAAATAAAAGCTTCCTATTGGTTAAAATGTTCAATTACAGCCAACTATTTAAATAACGAACCAATCAGAGTTGTTTGTATGATATAAAACGCGTTTTTCTTTATTTATACGCTAAAGAAGTATCGCTAGTAGCGCCACCACTCGGCTGTTATCATAACAAAAGTACCACTTTTAATAATCAGCTGTCAAACGCTTAGGTTACAAACGAGTGTTTTTAAGAATAAAGCCGGAAAATTTTAAAAAATAACGAAAAAAAACCGTGGCCTCGATTTGTACATTTTCCGGCTTTATTCTTAAACATCAAACCTTACAATTGTAATTAAAATATTGCTGCAATATTGCACTCGTAATAAAATTTAAAGCTTTCAAATTTATATTGCTGCAAGGCTGCCGCAATGTTAAACAGCAAACTTACAAAGCGTAACATTGCTGCAAGTCTTTTTTGCCTAATATTGCTGCAAGCTTACAGAAAAAAGGTTACTTATGGGACTGCGCGCATGCGCTTTTTAAATTATCAATTGATTGGTTGTTAACAACCAATCAACAACGACCCCTCCAATTTTAGTACAGCGCTGAACAGATGGCGTCATAGATGGCGTTTTAAGTTAAAAGTTTTCATATACTTACCACACTGTGTGGTAAGTATATGAAAGTTTTAACTTAAAACGCCATCTATGACTTAAAACTTTTAACTATATATATAACTAGCTATAGCTATATAAAATATGGCAATGCCAACTAGTTGGCATCGCCATATTTTATGGGCATCGTGTTTGTTTGTGATGGGCATTAACTTTTGTTTCACAGATAATAAAGGTGTTGTGTTTTGTTTTTAAGCCTAATATAATAACAACTGTTACCAAGGTAAGACTTTAAATATTGTTTTTTTGCGTAGTTTAGAGTAATACCCGTAGGTATAGGTTAAGAATTGTTTTATACATATAAATTTTAAAGAAAATTCCACGCGGTCTAAGGCCCGGTATTTCAGTCGAAGTTTAAACAAAAAACGAGTTTAAATTCAGTTAAAGCATTGTTTTTAGAGGTATTAACCAAAGATAATGTATTATCTTTGGTATTAACCTCTAAAACAATGGTTAAAGTCAAAATTCGTGTTGTTAATTTTGAGGTTATACTTTTTTTAGGTTTAACTACTTGTTGCCATTGCTATGGGCATTAATTATTGAAATACCTACGTAATATAGATATTGAAATACGTAATATAGAAACCTATTGAAATACGTAATATAGATGCAACAACTGTTACCAAGGTAAGACTTTAAATATTGTTTTTGCGTAGTTTAGAGTAATACCCGTAGGTATGGCCTTTAAGGCTTTAATATTTTTTATTTTTAGATTCTATAAAGCAAATCAGGACACAATCAACGGACACAGATATTAAAGCAAAAATAATGCACTGTCTTCAGTATGCAGGAGTACGCTACAACCGTCAAAAAAATTGACAAGAATTTTAGTTTTTAGTATTAATATTATGATTTATTTTTCAGTATTATTATGATTTAGTTTAAACTTAATAAAAATGACAAAAAGGAACTGATGTACCTGAAAATTCTAGTTTTTTTTAATCAGCATTATGTTTTTGATTTAGTTTATACAGGGTATCTCAGAGATAAGGAGATTCCTTACACCAAAATAAGTCAAAAACTCTTTACAAATATTTAAAAAGTTTTCTTCCCTACTTTACTAGTGGCTGGTGGATTTTGGGTATACCAATATGCCAGTTATTAGACATGAGACCCACACTAATGAGTTTTTAATGGTAGGGGAGAGTGGGTAGAGTCTGGACACTGGGAGACAATGGACAATGGACGAATTTCGCGGTTCCAGTAAAAATTTCAGGTTGGTTCTACTATTACACATCGTCAAATTGGTAAGGTATCAAATAGTGGTAGTGAAATAAGTTTGAGTTTAGCTGTAGAAGAGGTAAGTGGAAAAGTTTATTTTCGAGTTTTTTCATGTAATATTTTACTTTTCCTTTGTAAGCTTTTCTGCCCAGACCGTTGAAGATAAATAATTTAAAGTTACTACATATTAAAGCATGTATAAAGCATGGAACTTTTGTTATATCCTTACTTTATTCCGTTGCTATATTTTGAAATTATGAACATTTTTTTTGTTTCACATCATGTAGGGAGAGTTTGGACACACTGTCTAGAGTCTTCCTCTATTGTCCAAACATAGTCCCGGCACTTCGTTAGCAGAGTATTGCAAAAATTAAACCAAGGATATACAGTCAAATTCCTTAAAAGGCAGTTTCTATCATACAGATTTAAAGAAACACATGAAGATGAAGCCTTGGTGGATTTTAAGGACGTGGTATTGGTTCTTCCCCCCCACTGACGGAGTTCGATTCCATAACATGATTTACTTTAATATTAATTTGTCGCAATTTACTATTGAATAAGTTTTGCTCTGATTTTTTCAATAAAATTCCTAAATTTATAATATTTTTATAGTGTCCAAATGCACCCCATACGTTGTCCAGAATCTCCCCGTATGTGGGGTGACTTTGGACAGATGACCGAAAATTTTCAAAAATTCGTAGCAAACCCATCTTACGGTTTAAAGTGCACATATTTATCTCTTTGCGTTTTCAAAAGTCAACACTATTACCTGAAACTTTGAAATTAGAAATAATTACATTTCTAAGAGACCCAGGCAAAAAAATCTAAAAATTGTCCAATGTCTACCCACTCTCCCCTATTCAATAAACAATTGTTTTGCGCAAGCAGAATTTATTTTGAATTTTGCGAAAAAAAGTTAGTTTTTCAACGTGCCTCCCATGTCTCCCCATAAATAAGAAAATTCAAATTAAAGTTGTGCATAATTATAGTTTACCTATCGAAAAATTTCAAAATTTATTTAAAAAATCAAAGCATTACAGATTTGATATTTTTATTTTGGTAAAAGAAATAAAAATTTAAAATGGTATAAAATCTGTAATACTTCGATTTTGTAAATAAACGCTGAAAAACTAACTTTCTTTCGCAAACATTAATTTTAATTTGCTCGCGCAAAACTTTTTTATTTAATGTCATTAAAAACTTATAAATTTGGTGTGGGTCCCATGTCCAATAACTGACATATTGGTATACCCAAAATCCACCAGCCGCCACTGTACTAAAAATTGTAGCAAGCTTATCCTAACAATATTGCCTAAATGTTTTGTTTGCAATATTGCAGCAAGCTTACAATGCAATATTGAAGCAATCCTACAAAGAATGGTTGGGTCAATATTATATTTGCAATATTGTAGCAAGGTTATATTACAATATTACATTGCAATATTGCTGCACGGTACATTCGAGCTTGCATAAACCTTTATGCAATGTTAATGTAAGAAATATAGCAATATTGCATAAAGCTTGTAGCAATATTACTTTGCTTAGTGGGGTTGTGTTGTTGGGTGTATTTCGAGAGGAAATTCTGGGCTGTTTTTACCGGTTTTCCTATAAACAGTTTTAATCTGAATGAAGAAATAAATTGCATACAGTCTCTGTAAATATAAATTGTACCTATTAGCATTGAGTAAAGATGCTATTAGTTACACATTTTAGTAGTGGTTAACGTGAAAAGTGTAAATATTTCAATTCAGTAAAAATCGTGAAACAAATAAGTCGTCTAAATTTAAACAGCATTTCGCATTATTAAAAGAGTTGATTAAGAAAGTCTCAACTCAACGGTAAAATACCATTATATTATGTATTATATATAATATTATGTTGCCTTGAATTCGTAGGTATATTTTGTTGTTTAAAATGCAGTTGTCGGCGTTTTTTAGAGAACTCAAATATAAAAATGGTTGATTTTAAGGTTATGATAGTGCAAAAATGATTTTTTACTAATTTCTTAAAAATGTCCAAACTTAAATATAAATTATATTAGGTAAAGTTATCATTAGTTAATTCTGCACCAACAAATGTACTTACCGAATTGGATCCTCTGGCAAAACATGAAAATGCAGCGATTTAGTTCTTGAATTTTATTTACCTACAATTAAAAACACAATAATTCACCATGATCCCTTAGATAAAATACACACACAAACGTAACTATATAAGCATTTAAGCGTTGAGTTTCTTAATCAATGATATAAGGAATAATCAATCAAAATCGAGTATTAAAAAAGTTTTTTAATTTTTTCCTTGCAACGTAAAACACAAATAACGTGCGCGATTTAGCTGTGCAATTGAACAAAATTTGTTGAGCAAGACTTCTGCCTTCCCCTCTTTTGTGAAAAAACTACCTATTTATTTAAAAAGAAAGTTGCTAGTACACCGCGCGCGGTGTACTATTCTACACCGCCAATTACGTCATAATTATAATCCGTTTTTGTTCCCCGAGCGTTTAATATTTGACAACAAGCTAGATGGCTCAGATGGTAGGGCGGGCGCTTGGCATGCGAGAGGTCCCGGGTTCGATACTAAGAACTTTTTTTATTTTTTTATTTCATAAATTTGTTGTTCCTTTGTTAAAGTGTTTTATTTTTATCGTAACATAAATTTGCCCATTTTATTTGGGTTTTTTGTTCAATGGGGCGGGGTCGGTTGGGTTGTGTTGTTGAGTTTGGGTTGGTTTGGGTTTATGACGTAATATATAATTTGGCGGTGCAGAATAGTACACCGCACGCGGTGCACTAGCAACAGCGATTTAAAAATGATGTATAATATGTGTTTTAAATGTATTGTTGACAATAATTGTTCGTCCTATCCATTGCGTGAATTTAAGAATTATTCTTAAATTCACGCAATGGATAGGACGAACAAAAATGCCAACCAAAACTGATAGCATCATCTGATTATAGACTCTTTTGGTAACACAAAAATGTATTTATCTAAATCCAGCTGATTCTTCAGTCTCTGTACAAACATGCTTCTTACATGTAGCGATATCCCCTAGAAAGGAAGAGCGTATCAAAACTTTAGTTCGTTCGTCCGTCCTCTTCCCTTAAAAATTTTTTATGCCCTTTATATCTTGCCATTTTGCAGATAAAGCACATACATTCTTGGCTGCCGCGAAATTCTCTAGCAATTTCTAAATTTTGAAAATTTGGCAATTGTGGCTATGCAAAAATACCGTTTTTACCATATTGAAGAAGGTAATTTTGAATCACTTAAGTTAAAGTGTTCGTTTGAAAAAGTCTGCAGTAATTTTTATATTTTCTCAGAAACCCTAAACTCTGAATTTTTCGATTACCAAAAACAATTTTGTCTCCACAGCCAGCACATACCTACCTTATTTCGATTTTTTTCATGGCTTAACTTGAATTTCGGTTTAATTTTCATTTTAAAATACTATTTTTAACTTTATAAAGTATACATTAAATAAACAACTAAAGCAAAATGTCACTTGCGTTATAACGTATAGCAATTTTTTTCATAACCACCTTAATTATTGTTTTACAAAATTTGCAAGTTGTAATTATTTCATAGACAAACCAGTATTTTTTATTATGTTTTGATTTGATTGGTAAAAAATAAAAGGTGACTCAATAAATTAATACTGGGGAGTAAAGTTATTTAAATGGTACAAAGTTTATTATTTTGCTTAATTTTATTAAAATTGTACAGGTAGTTTTAGTACAATCATTGCAAAATAATTTATAGAAATAGAAAAACAAAAAAGTTTGCAAAACTTTAAAATAGGATCAGCTGGGATTTTGATAAATACATGTTAGTGTTACCTAGTGTTGCAAACAAGGAAAAGTTCGGTAGAAAAGTTGGAAAGTTGTTGGAAAAGTTCGGCACCCCCTATGAAAAGTTGGAAAAGTTATTAGGTGGGAGCTAATGAACAATGACTTCTAACCAGTGTTTCCACTACCATAAATTTTTTTTGGTAGATAATTTGGTCAAAATTCGATATAAATCGCTAGATTTGAAGTGTTTTTAGTAAAACATGCTAAAAGCATTGTTTTTTGGAATAACATTTTGTCAAACTTTATCAAAAATGGTGTCTGCTAACAGCATTTCTATTATTATATTATTTATTTATTAAAAGATTCTTTTATTATAACGTATTTTTAATTTATACACAGTATGAAAAAAATATTATTTTTTTTAATTATGGAAATTTGCAAGTGAAAATATAAAAGTGGAAAAGAAGAAAGTTTTATTTTCTTTTTCTTTTTAAATTTTTACTTGTAAATTTCCATAATTTTTAACAACAATAAATTTAATAATTTTTGCTTCATATTTTTTTGTAATTATTTTTTATTTCGTATGTGTTTTTTTATGGTGTGTATATATTTCTATTCTTTTTTACTTAAAAAATATGATTTTTTTAATTCAAACCTAGTTTATTTTTGTTGTTATTATGTTGTCTGTTCATTTTATTTTGTTTGATATTTTTTTTTGTTATTTTGTTACGTATATACAAAAGTCTATACAAAAGTGCTCTTTTAGTTCCACCCTTACTTCTTAAGAAGTCCCATAAGCCAACTGAATGGCTTGTGCGGGTTAGGGGTAGGAACGGACCGCGGGCTTAAAGTCCCCTCCGAAGGACTATTACACAATAGGACAAATTATGTATAAATACATAAGAAATAAATTATTTTACATTTACATAACAAAAAACTCAACTTTTCCATCTTTTCCAACTTTTCCGAACTTTTCCGAAAAATAAAACCCAACTTTTCAAAAATTTCAACTTTTCATGAAAAGTTGCAACCCTAGTGTTACCAAAAGGGTCTATAATCAAAATATGCTATCAGTTTTGGTTGGCATTTTTGTTCGTCCTATACTTAAGTTTTGACCACCGTGACTTCTTTAGCGTATAACTTATAAATGTAACCTTTTTAAAGTGTCACTTTATTTCTCACTTTCAGTCATATGAAGGGGGTATAGGACAAGGGCCAGGTCTGGAGGCGCACAGTGGTTCGACGTTTTGCGCTGTTGCCGCGTTGGCGTTGAGTAAAAACTTGCACCGGCTAAGTCGGACGCAATTCAAGAATTTACGGAGGTGGCTCTTGAACCGACTCAACGGCGGTTTCAACGGTAGACCGAACAAACCGTTCGACACCTGCTACTCGTTTTGGACAGGGGGCGCCTTAAAGATTTTAAAGGCCTACGACTTTATCGACACGAAAGAGTGTCAGGATTTCATTTTGACCACCCAGGACAAATATGGCGGGATTTCCAAGTACATTAATGTGGTGCCGGACCCCATGCACACCTATTTGGGGTTGTGCGGACTGAGTTTGATGGGGGTTTATGAGTTAAGTCCCATTTTTTGTGAGCTGATGATAAGTGAGAGGGCCAATAATCACTTGAAAAACATACAAGAGAAATGGAAACGCGATTAGTTCATTTGTTGCTTTCATGTTTTAAACCAACATGGAACCCCCTCCCACCACATTCCGCTGCACATTGACACCGGTGGTTACGCCACTGGTTGCCTATGATTAATAAAATTTATATATGTTTTTAATTGTATTTTATTTTAACATTAGTTTTATGCAGCTTATTCAATTTTTATACCTAGCTTAAAAAACGCGTTTTTAAATATTCTTCAGTTTATACACTCACAGGAAAAATCGATCCATACACTCTGTAGAGTGGCAAAACAGTATATTGTTCTAAATTAAGTTTTATTTATCAAGTCACATCTATTCTTAACAGTTTTGTTTTTGGTTCACCTCGATATATTTATTTTTGTGGAAAATATGGATTTTAAAAAAAACATTGCAATTTCCAATATTTTTCTGTATGAAGAACCAAGGTTGCTATGGTCCATCCATAGGCTATGGAGGATGACAGTGACAGTTTTGTTGAATCATCCCATACTTGGACATGTCATACACGGCTTTCAAAAGCTATCAAATTGTTTTTTGCAAATTAATGTTTAAATTTTGAGGTGTATTCTTACTTAAAAAAATGGATATGTCTCCGACTGATGTTGCCAGAGCTATTAATTTAATCCAGGATGGACGGTCACAGTATTATGTGGCAAGTGTTTTAAACGTCACAAGAAGTAAAGTACAAAGGGCAACATCAGTCATTTTTAAAAGTAAAAAGACGTCTTTTAATGTGTTAATTTTGAGGTGTACACCTCAAAATTAACACATTAATTTACAAAAAACAATTTGATAGCTTTTGAAAGCTGTATATGACATGTCATGGGATGATTCAACAAAACTGTCACTGTCATTCTCCATAGGCTATGGATGGACCATAGCAACCTTAGTTCTTCATACAGAAAAATATTGGAAATTGCAATGTTTTTTAAAAAAATCCATATTTTCCACAAAAATAAATATATCGAGGTGAACCAAAAACAAAACTGTTAAGAATAGATGTGACTTGATAAATAAAACCTAATTTAGAACAATATACGGTTTTGCCACTCTACAGAGTGTCTTAAACTTATGGTAAAAAAGATCTTTTTGTTTAAACCTGTATATTATAAACGGACGTGTATTTTTTAGTAATTTTTAAAATGTGAGCGATTCTCCATTAATGTATCTACAATATTCTTTAATATTTGTTTAAATCTGACATCAAATAAAAAAGTTATTTGCGATTGAAATTCATCGAAAATTTGTGTGGATCGATTATTTTGCCTGTGAGTGTATCATACAAGTTTTATTTGGCATAAAAATTAGACTGTAATCACGTGATTAAAATTTATTTATAAAATTTAATTGCCATTTTTATAAACATTTTATTTCCTGGAAATTAATTAAGGTAATTACTTTTTACTTGTTTTGTTTTAATTTTTTCTTTTATTTTTTTTAAATTCTCACAACTTTTACGAAGTCGCTAAATTTCCAAAAAATCACAAAAACGGTGTTCTAAATTTCTAAAAAATTCCAGAACTAAATATTTCAAAATGTTCAAGATACATGTTCAAGTACCTACATGTGTTGCCAAATTAATGTAAACTTTTTTGATTTTTTGTTTTCCTTCATACTATTTTTTTCCCCAAAATATCCCAGAAACTAGGATTTTTTGCAACGTTGCCAAATTTCCCCGACGCAGGGATTTTTGCGGTGTTGGAAAATTTCAAAAAATCCCAGAACTTTTTCAAAATCTTCAGGATCCCTTTAGTATACTATAGGTAAGTCATCTTGCACTATTTAAGGTCGTTTTTTAATTTATATAAATATTTTTTGCTTTTTATTTTTCTCTACACTTTTATAGGTAGGTATTTAAAAAAATCCAAAAATTTAAAGAACCCAAGGTTCATTTTTTTTATCTGGACTGCGGCAACGTTGCAAATTTAGGGTTTTGGTTGGTAAATACAGTTGTCAAGTTGGTCGAATTGATTAAAACAAACTAAGCTAGTTATAAATCTAATTGTGGTTATGTATAAATTATTGTACGATACATTGTGCAGTTGTCAAGCAGCGTTGCCAACTTAGCGACTTTGTCGCTAGATCTAGCGTTTTGAGGTAGCCATTTGAGACATTTTTTTATGATTTGCGACGTGTCTCAAACCTAGCGTTTTTCACATTGTGTTGGCGACATTTTTGGAGACATTTTAACATTGATAATGAAATTTGTTTTTAAACAAATCAACAAAATAATTTCTAGTTTAAAAAATTTCAAATTAAAATTTGTTACGTTGGCATGGCCAACTTGGCAACGACGCATCCGTACGTCATCCGTCAAATTTCAAAAACTGAAAAAATAGCCGGGCAATTGTCAAATCCCATTATTTATTTATTCTTTTATAATCTGTGTTATGGAAAATCCTAAGGGATTTTGGCACTTTGCAGGCTTATATTAATGACGATGCAAAATCGACTGAATTTCTTAAAAATTTCGAGGAAAATTTATTAATAAATTATTTACCTTAATAATTATTTATTTTTATATATTTTATTTATTTTTCTTATTTTAGCATGACTTGATTTTTTAATGTTTTATGTTATGTTATTTAAATAAAATATTTGTTAACAATTATAATTATTAATTATTTTTGTGTAATGATAAGATAATGCCATTTTCTAGTGTCCTTTACTACAACCACGTTAAAATTCTTTCTTTATGAAAAATCAATTCTGTTTAAAATTTTGCAACCACTTTAAACTTTTTTTTTCTCTTTTTTTTTAATTTGCGACATCTGGCGATTTTTAAGTGCCAAATAATTTAGCGATTTCTGGCGACTTTTGAAGAGCTTGATTGAGACTTTTCATTATAGACTGTTGGCAACACTGTTGTCAAGTTGAGTTGTCGAAAGTATTTAAAAAAATAATTTGGCTTTGGTGGTGCTTGGATGAGTAAAATCATATAAAAAAAGTAGTTAAATATAGGTTGCTTTACGGCCCAGAAGAGAAAGTATCTTCGCTTTGAAATGAATTTATATAAAAGAAATTAATTTTTTTTGTGAACGTAAATGTTGTGCAATGGTGAATAATGTGAAAATAATGTGTGATGTAATATTTATAAAAGCAAATTCGTTACTTTTTCTTCCATTGGCATTTGGCATAATTTCATCAAAATGAAGTTTTGCCCTCAAAGGGGCTTTTACATTCGAATTCGTTGCTATTATTTTTGGCATAATTATCATTTTATTTATAATTGACAAGTAAATTATCAATAATAAATATTATTGTCAATTTGACAGTGTAAAAGTATTTAATTCAATTCTTTAGCAGAAGTACCATTTTTAAATACTAAAAATACCAAGTCAAACTGGCATAAGCCACCAACCTAACAAAAAAACACGAGTCCAGATAAAAAAAATGAACTGTACTACTTTTGTTTTTAGCAGTGTTGCCAAATTTCTGAAAAAATCCCAGAACCTGGGAATTTTTAGTATACTTTCAGCGATGTTGCCAAATTTATATGTATAAATCCTGAAATTTATATTTGCAAAATTGTGCTTGTTTGCAACGGATCGACGTGATTTTGTGGCACAGTTTGGGTAATTTAAACTACTTGGTGTAGTATATACATACGTATCCACAAAATCCTCAATTTTTGTTAAAAAGTTATTTTAGCAAGAATTAAGTCTACCATTTAAAAATTACATCCTGTAAAATAATACTTTCCGAGTGAAGTTAAAACTGCCTCACACAGGTCTGACAGAATTACGCCCAAATTTTGGTTCTTTATACTTATGCAACCCAGATTACAGTGTCATACCCATTAAAAATATTGTTTTATTATTAATTTTAGAATGTTAATAAGTTATACCTTAATTTTTTTTATTTTTAAAACAATTAAATGTATAAATAATAATTTAAAAAAAGTGTTTTCTTAATTATTAAGGTTTTATAAAGAAGTTAAAAAATACAACAGTAATGGAAAAGTAATCAAATTTATTAATTTTAATTCAATAAAGTTTAAATTATAAAACCATTGATTAAAATAACAATAAAACATTATACGCCAAATTTTTAGTCAAAATTTAAATTTGCCAGAATAATTTCGTTTTCGTTGACAATACAAAGAAAATGATTTTTTTATTTTAAAGATATATGCAAACTGTTGAGTTATTTTTTTAAATTTGTATCTGAAAAAACAATCTTTGTAAGTCCCCAAATACAAAATTAAAAAAATCAAAAAATACATGTCAGTTTCTTTTTGTAAATACGATATTTACAATATTGTAAACAAACAAAAAATATTCAAGACAAATTTAAGGTTTGACTGAAAATTTGGCTCGTGAAATATTAGCTAGATTTTAACGTATCTGCAGATTTCAAAACCTTATTTAATCTTTTACCAATTAACTTAGGATAAGTATTATTCTTGATCCGAAACTCTTTACTTTGATGTGAGACAGCCCCATTTTTCAACTGAAACTCGCACATAGCTTTCAGAGGCTGCAGCAACTTATCTTTGTAATCTTCATTTTTTTCCACTATTGCCAAAGTTGTAGCTGCTGTTTCCAGAGTACTTAAACAACCATCTGTGGGCTGAGTACGAATAATATAATTGCTTGCCCCTGTTGTTAGTAGTTTCACTTGTTTGATGTTATGTAAATCGGGGCTGCCGGTGTATATTGCCTTGGCTTGTGGCCATGTACCATCTATAATAATGATATTATAGCTTTTAGTCTCATTTTCTGTAAGTGTGTTTAAATCAACTGCGTTAGGGCTTGGGTATAATAATATAGTGTTGTCTTGCTTTAATATGTCAGATAATTCATTGTGTTTACCAGGAAATCGTTTCCCTTTAAAAATAAGGCATTTTCCTGGCTCTAAACCCAGTTCTAACATCGGTGCAGTTCGTAGACACCTTTTTTCTTCTGCTGGGTGCTGTATAAGAATTATCCTACTTAATGGTGATAATGCTGGGTTCGGCAGGTATTTACAGTAACACACTGTATCTGGTCGTCTTAAATTACATTAAAATTGCATATAAAACCATTCATTTAAAATTTATTTCACTTACCCACATTGTTGGCAGATTTCGCGTTTATCCGGTGGGTCAGCTGGTAAACAGGCCAATTCCAGCAGCACGTCTTCTTCATCGAACATTTTGTTCGCTTAAAAAATATAAAAGGAAAAGAAAACCTGTCAAAAAATACATAACCTCAAAAGTGTTTACATCTGTCAAAATTTCCCGTAGTGCTGCCAACTTAATTAGATGGTCTGTCAATTTTATGATTTTTAATTTAAAATTCTCAATAAGGTGTTTTAAAATATATATATTGAGAAATTCTTGGTTAACTCTTGTTATTTGATAATCGAGAGTATTTTTGCGCTAAATTATTGCTAAAAGAAAAATATTAAGCAAAAAGGTTTGTTCCAATTAAGTAAAATAATAGTTATTTATGTCATAAGGCTGAGAAGTGTCTTTTTGTGCAGGCGGCGGGTTAAAATAATAAGATGACAAACTAAATTGAATAAAATTGATTATTTGTTCCATTTTTAGTCAATTACTTAAAAAATATTCAAAAAAATTATTTTAGTGGGTAGGGGAGTTCGATAAACTGCCACGTTACCCTTCATTGTGTCACGAGGAAGGGGTCAATTTTCACCTTTTTAACGTCACGAGATTTATGGACGGGCCCAACTTTGATTAAAAGGCACGGAAAATACATTTAAAAAAAAATTCTAGCAAGGTGCGAAAAATTTCGTGTAATCAATGATTTCCCACAAATTATAAAAAATGAAGAAACCCACAGAAGTACAAACTGAAAAATTGACAGATTCTGCCTACCATATCGCACAAATTAAGTTTTATTTTTTACCACTAGCGGCGCTGATTTCCTTTTTGTACAAACGTCTTTCGGTAAAAAACAAAAACTATAGTTATAACGCCCTCTTATTTTGAGAAGCCATTTGTTTTTATAAATGGAGTTCAGAGCTGCAACAAGTCAGTTTTAAAAAGACTTAAATCTTAAGTCTTAAGTCAATTCTAAAATCAAAATGATTTAAATCTTAAGTCAATTCTAAGATAAAGTTCAAATGATTTAAGTATTAAGTCTTTGAATTAAATCATTTTCTTTCAAGTCAAGTCATTTTCGCAAATTCTTAAATCAATATAAAGTGATTTAAGTCATATTATGACTTAATTCCTTTAGTAAGTCGTTTTTATGACTTAAGTCTATATTTTTTATTTAAATCGTGATCTAAGAGTTAAGTCAATAAAATGACTTGAATCAAAAATTGTGATTTAAATCAAAATAATTACCCTTAAGTCAATACAACGATTTTAACATAACTACGCAAGAACATGACAAATTTTAGCAAACAAAATAACAAAATTATAAATTCCCACTTTTTTTAATTCATTTTAGACAGGACATTTTTTAATGTAGCCGTCAAACGGTTCCAATAAACTAACTTTACCGCGGCGGTTTTTTTATCCACTAGCGGTAGCAATTGTAGGTAGGAAATTAAAGGAGTTTTTGATCTGCTGCCGCGTGAACCGCTGGCAGTTCAAAAGAAAATGCCGCTGTTAAAAATTTATAAAAAAATATATGAAAAATTTGACTTCAATCAGAGCTGTCAGACAGCAGAAAGCTTAAGTGTTTTTTTTAACTTAAGTCATTTTTGTGACTTAAGTCATTTGATTTAAGTCTCTTTTTTTTGGACGACTTGAGACTTAAGACTTAAGTCATTTTCAAAATGATTTGTATTATTAAGCTTTTTCTACATTTGCGTAAGGACTTAAGTCTTTTTAAAATGACTTAAAACAAAAAAATGACTTAAGTCTTTTTAAAATGACTTAAGTCTAAAAATGATTTAAATCTTTTTAAAATGACTTAAGTCTAAAAATGATTTAAATCTTTTTAAAATTACTTAAGTCAAAATAATGATTTAATTCTTATTAAAATGACAAAATAGGTAAGAATTAAATTCTTAAAAAAATAAATAAATAATGATTTAATAATTTTTTGGTGTGATTATGGATAAAATATTTTTTACTCAATTTTTTTTAATGTCCACAAAACAACACACCAAGGTACTAACTTTCTGATCATGACAAAATTTGAGCTCCGGCTCGTGGAGGTCCTAAACAAAATCATTTTTTAAAAATTACAATAATTTTAGAAAATTAAAGATAACATAAGTTTGGTTACATATATAATAAATATGTTTTCACTAAAAAATCGTTTTATCCACCTAAAATAAGTAATTCATTAAAAAATAGCATATACTTTAATGATAATTAAAAAAATAATATTTAAAAAAGTACCTTTTTTACTGGTTACTTGAAATGGAAAAAAATCACTTCAAGAAAGTTCAAATTTGACCTTCTCTACTAAATCAGTTATGAAACTTAAGAAATTTGTTATATGTTTTTAACATACCTTTATTAGTTTACTAATGAAAAAAAATTAAATTTACTCAAATGTAGATTTTATAGGTTTTGGCCAGCTTTTTGGGCATTTCCAACACTGTGTGCCAGTACATTATTATATACAATACAATAATTGACTAATTAAGTGATCAACTTTTTGTTATGCACCTATTTTAAAAATAAATTTCATTAAAAGTCTTGTCAAAGAGTATCTATTAGATATATACTCTTTGATCTTGTTTTGAATCTCTCAAAATGAGTAAGGTATTTGTTTTTTTTACTTAAATCTTTTTTTTTCGACTTTAATCTTTTTTTTTTCGACTTAAATCTAAAAACGACTTAAGTATTTTTAGGGAATTAAGTTCCTAAAAATGACTTAAGTCTTTTTCTAGATTTAACCCAGATAGCACAAGATAACCCACAGACGTCCTATTTAGGTAATTCTCGGCTTAGCCAGACCGAACGGGTCTGGGACATCCATAGAACGTCAAGTCTAGACCCTGTTCGGCTTAGCCTGATTAGGCGTATTTTGGACGTCCAAAGTAAGCCAAATAAGGCTTAGCCGGACCAGGTCTATAATTGACGTTCTATGGATGTCCCAGACCCGTTCGGCCTGGCTAAGTCGAGAATTACCTAGATTGGACGTTCCTGCTCACACAGCACAGGATGTCCAAATGACGTCCATTGGACATCCTTTGGACATCTTTTACTATGTGGGTGCACCCATGGGCTATCATGCCTAAACTTTTCGTTCAAGAAATTTCGGATATGTAATAAATTGTGGGTAATATTAAATATCATGTACAAATTATATAAACCACCTATTTTTATGAGGTTTCTCTTTTGCCTTCTTTGGATGTTCGTGGGACAGCCTGAGGGTGTCACAGAGAGTCAATCAAATCGATTAGCCTTATTATAAGAAAGATTAATTTACAAAAAAATTAAGTTTATTATTGAATATAGGTAGTTTATAATACATATTCGTACTATTCGTCGGGATTTATACATTTATATTTAATTTAAAATTTCTTGTTATCACGTAAAGGTAGTAAAATCCATTATTGCATCATTTTTAAATTCAATTAAATTCTATTACCATGGTAATGCATTGATTAATAAGTTCACTACTTCTTTACTCAACGCTATTACGTTTAAATGTATAAAAACACCGTTATTATAACGTATAGTTTTAAATTTTAAACATCGGTCTTCTTCGGGTAGAACCGAACGGGTTCGTGACGACGCTTCCCATAATCCGTTGCAATGGCGTTCTTTTGCTGTGTGATGGCGTTTATGGCGGTGTTTCTACATTGTGTGTTGTGATTTCTACTAGGTATTGGCTGTTTATAGACTTGTAATAGAATAAATTCAAGTAAGTAATTAGATTAGGTTTGTTTTGACTAATAGACTGTACCACACAAACAAAATTAACGGTTGCACTGATAATTGGGCGTAAACAAATCGTGAAAACAAGGATTTAAAAAAAATATTTTATCTCCACGCGGTCTATAATTTAAACTTTATTGTTGTCAACATTCGATAAAGAAATACCTTGTTATGGCCTAGGCCGATAAAAATTTTTATGAGGCAAGTAATTAGTTCGATTTTTTCTCGCTAGGGGTATTGTTTTGACAAATTAATCCTTTTCTAAGAAATTAACGTACTAAACTGGTTTAATTTATTTATAATAAGCACTAATTTGTTTGTTTTACTGTTATAACATTATAATGTTTAATATTTTTCATTAAATTATTGTAAAATTAAATATGAATAATAAAATAAAAAGTGAGGTTAGGACATTGCAATTTGACGTTTCACAGTTGTGTTTTCTTTTTCTACGATTTAAATTATCTTTAAATTTTAATTTGCTTTAAGTTTTCAGTAAAATTAAATGTTAAACACAGCGTAAACATTCCAAACTACCTATTTTTTAATAAAAATGCAAACAAATTGAAATTAGATACCTATTAGGTACCTATTTATTAAACAATTAATTGAATTCAATGTAATAGCAAGAGGGTAAGTAAACCATTTTCTTACAAAAATCCATTTCTACTTAAATCATGTAGCTAGGTATTGCAAACTATTACTGCTTCTAAAAGGAATAATAATTATTGTACATTTAATGTAATCTTTAGCTAATAAATAAATGAGATTAAAAAAAGTGAGGTTATGCCACTTTCATGTTGAATTAAATTGACCTATATAAAGTGCTTTGAAGATAAAATGTTGTATGCCATTCGGCCAAGAAGAGTCTTTTTGTGCTTCGCTCAATTGTAGGCCTCCGTTACGCGTCGGCCTTCAAACTTTGAGCTTAGCACAAAAAGCCTTACTTCTTAACCTAATGACATAAATAACTATTATAAAAACACATTTTTATTGTTTTTACTTTCCAAGGGATTTCTTTCTATACTTTCTAAATTTTATTTTATCCACCCAAAGCCCTACATCAAAATTTTACAACTACCAAACTACAAAGTGAGGTTATCATTTTTATTGTTATCTAGAAAAGCTTTTATTTATTTAATATCTAAAAAAGCTTTTATTCCTATTTAACCGTGAATTTTTTTTATGTGGTGCTCATGAGCTCATATACCGTTCCTTCATTTGCAAGCTATACATAGCCTATGTCATAGGGAAAATACATTGTAGGTGGACCAGACAAGTTGAAGTCAGCGCAAAGCAAGGAATATCTGAATTTCGAATTTACCGGCAGTGGACGTCCAATGGATGTCATTTGGACACTGAGACGTCCAGGGGATATCCTTTGGACGTCCTCTGGACATTTGTGCTGTAATTATAATATAGGTGAATAAAAATGTTTGGTTAAAAATTTTAGGTGTTTTAGTTTTTATTCCTGTCAGCCAAATTATGGCCAAATTTGGTCCTAGGACAGTCTTTAATAGACCATTATAGGACGGCCAAAGGACAACCAAAAGTGTCTACTTTGGAAGTCCTACGGACGTCCATTCGTGGTCTTAGGATATCCGTAGGACGTCCACTATGTCCTGGGTTGACGTCCTAAGGATATCCAGTGGACGTATGTGTGCTATCTGGGAAGTCGTTATATATTTGATTTTTAATAAGACTTAAGGCTTAAAAAAAAAGACTTAAGTCTTTTTGAAAGGCTTAAGACTTAAATCTTTTCAGTTTTATAGAAAAAATGACTTAAGACTTAAGTCATTTTTATTTCAAAAAAGACTTACGACTTATGACTTAAGTCATAAGTCTTTTTAGAAGTGACTTGTGACAGCTCTGACTTCAATATTTTCTAAAAAGACTTAAATCTTTTTTTGACTTAAATCGTTTCTATCTGACTTAAATCGTATGTACTGATTTAAGCCTTTTATAAATGACTTAAGTTTTTTCTATTTTGAAAAAAATATTTAAGTCACAAATCATTTTGAAAATTACTTAAATTTTAATTCTTAAGTCAGTTTTAGAGAAATGACTTATTACCAAATGACTTAAGTCATTAAAACGATTTAAATCAAAAAAACGATTTAAGTTTTCTGAGAGCTTGCAGCTCTGATGGAGTTCGTACTCAATTGCAATTTTAAGGAAAATAAAAGAATTTGGTACCATTTTCAAAATATTCAAAAGGAAATACGAAAAAATGGAAGTCAATTTTTCTAAAAATTTACAAATTTTTACGGATACTATTTGGACACTGATATCGAGAAAAAGGTGAATTTTCAACACTGAGTATATTCATAATATTATGATTATAAAAATTATTCCTTTTATTTTAATTCAGAAGAATATTTTACCGGGTCGCTAAAAAAAACATATTAATTCTGTGCTGTATTAACTTAACTTTCGTTTTATTTGACACTTCGATTTATAAAATTATAATTTTGTAATTTAACTTTAAAAATCATTAGATATTATCAATTGTAATTGGATATTTTCAATGGACTCCTTTTTGCAAAAAAGACCCACCCGACAGTATATTGAACATTTACGTTTAGTTTCTTAAATCAATTTAATTTAATATTTAGTTTTATTTTTTTTCTGGGGATATTTTTTTTTTAATTAAAATTATGTTAAGTTGTAGATTGCCACTTTTTTCAATTGTGTATATTTCCAAAAAAAAATCAATTTTCCCCAAAAAGACAATTTTTTCAAGGCATATCTTAACTTGTTGTTGAATGGAAAATAAAACATGTAATAATGAAAATATTTTATTAAAAGTGCATAAATACAAAATCGCACGCGTTATGTTATGATTAACAAAATAAAACGAGATTTCTTTTTAATTATATATTAATTAATTTTTTATTAATGTAGGATGAGTACAATAAAAAATTCAACGTTACTAATTAAGTTATTAATGATGCTGTGAGAGAAGGAAAAAGCGCGTAAATCGAGAAAATAAAACCACTAACAGTGCCCCCTGTCTTCGACCCTCTTCCTCGGGGCCGCTTTAATAATGTTATCGACGCGCAAAATCATCTCGGCGGCTTCAGACGCCGAAAGCAGCACCTGCCGCTTCACGACGAAAGACTCCGTGATCCCCAGCGCCTTCATGTCCCCCAAAACGCCCTCGTTCATGTTCAACCCCATGGTGCTCTTCCCCGAGTTGTGAGCCGCCACCAATTCGGACACAAGCTGCGCTGAATCGTAGCCAGCGTTGTCGGCTATGATGGTGGGCAGCTGCAGCAACGCCCTGGCGAACGCCTCCATAGCTACAGCCTCCTTGCCAGGAGTACTGGCGGCGGCTTTGCGCACCGCGCAGGCCATCAAAGTCTCGCTGCAACCGCCACCGTAAACAACGCGGCTCTCTTTTACAGTTGCAGCTAGCACACAAAGTGCATCGTGGATACTACGATCAGCTTCGTCTATAATCTGTTGAGTCGCGCCTCTAATCACCACAGTGCAAGCTTCCCCCAAAGCAACACCCGAAAAACGCAGCAAAATATCCTCCCCGATCATAATTTGCTCAATCAAATCGCACGTCCCCAACTTGATATCCCCGGGGTTATCAAACATCGAGGCTATCTCGCCTCCTGTCACCAAAGCTAATCGCTCAATACCGTCGAAATCGGCATGTTCGATGGCCATAACTCCGGCATCGGCGAACAACTGCTCCGGGTAGTTGTAGATCAACTGCCGGTTAATAAACACCGTCGGTTTGTGTTTTAAAATTTTATCAACCTTCTCCTTCATTTTCTCCTTCTCAGCCGACTCCAATTCGGCGATTTTGGCCATGGAATCCACCTTGATGTGGCTACCAAACACCTTAATCTTATCCGTATCCATGGGAGTGTTTGCAATCAAAATCTTAGCGTTCTCAACCCTCTTAGGTTGATGTATACCCGGCTTTTTATCCAGCAAAAAACCATCCTCTAAAAAGGAATCCTCAAGGGTACCACCAGACTTTTTAATCAGCTGAATCGACTGTAAATCCCCCGTGCCCTTCAACCTCTCCACAGCATTAACCGCTAAAGCAGCGAAGTGCTCCTTGTGCTGCGAGAGGATTTTCGAGCTCAGCGTGGTCCTGGCGATGTTGAGCAGGTCCTCGCGGAATTTTTCCGCGTCGGCGCTGTTGTCCGCAGAGGCGGTCAAGAGGGCCTTGCGCGCGACGTCGGTGGCCTTGCGCCAGCCCGCTATGATCGTTTGCGGGTGGATTTTTTGCTCGATCAGCTTCTCCGCTTCTTTCAGCAGTTCCGAGGCTGCAACAAGAAATTTTCGTCCGTTTATTTAAATGTTATTTTTGTTTTTACACATATTTACAAACTCTTTACAAAGTTAAGTTTTAACATGCAACGAAATTAAAAGAACGTTTGAACATCATATTTGCTTATACCGAATTTTCATTTGAAACCTGAACCAGATTGCCGGCGTAGCACAGTGGTCTGAGAGGCAAATTTACGCGGCAAAAATCCAATTTTTAAAACACTTTATTAACGCATTTTGATGCCTCTTTATTGTTCGTGACAGATTATTACCTAAGATTTTACACTGCGAAGTAGAATTTACTGCGTATGCGGTGCGTTTTAACAAATACATAAAATGATTGTCAAAAATACTCTTACTTTCGGAATCTTGTCTTTTTCGTGTAAAAAAGGCGTTGCGTAAATATAGTAGTGAAAATTAGTGTCAAAAATTTATAGTAGGGATAAAGTTGAATACAAATACAACTTTAAAATGTCTTTTTTGGATTTTTTGCCAAAAATATAGCGTTTTTTAACCCACAAATTCTCAAGTTTTGTAATTACAAATAATAAATGGAATATAAGTAAAAATTTATAATTACTTGCCAAGAACCACATAGTGCATTCGAAAATATGAACCTCCAGCTCCGACTTTATAAAAATTCATCTGCCTTTATGCGCCTATAAGAGAGTTATGCAAAAATGAAAAATGGCCGACAAATTACCGCTAACCTGGTCATAAAAGTAATATATTTTTTAAATTTGACAATAATTATTGCATTTATGAATGTTAATACAATTTTCTTTACTCCTATTACATAATATTATTTTTTTAATATACTTTGTATATTATACAGTGTGCCCACGGATGGGAATGACAATAGAAAAAAACTTTTTTATTAGGTATGATACGAAAAAAAGGTTATTTAAAAACTTTTGCTTGTTTCAAAAATCCTACACAAACATTTTGAATTAAATGTACAGGGTGCTCAGAAACTAAAAAAACACAAAAAACTAGAAGTGCGTTTTGTGGAAAAATGATTTTTTTTTAAAACTATTTGATAGTTAAAAATTAAGACTTTCATAAAAAGATGAATTATATATACAGGATGCTCAGAAATTTAAAAAAAATTATATCAAAATAAGAGAGAAATGTGGTAAGATATTCGTAACGGAATCGCAAAAAATCATTCTTCATAAAAACTTCTGCTTGTATTTAAAAATGAGATTCCTAACAAACATTTTTAATTAAATGTCCAGGGTGCTCAGAAAATTAAAAAAACAGCAAAGTGCTTTAAGAGGGTAGTACAATATTTATTGTTCTATAGGAATCTCATTTTTAAAACAAGCAAGAGTATTTAACGCATAATAAAAATAATAAGTTTTCCTATTGTCAACCATCACGATATTGGCTAAAGGGTTAAAAGAAATATGGTGAAATGTAAAATGTTGATATAATAATATATTTTTAATACTTTGAAGGTAATGGTTTTTCGGTTATTCATGATAAAAAATTATGCTTATTATCAAATATTAAAAAAATTCATTTTATATCATTTGTCTAGACTTAGCCCCTCAATACCAAATATTAAAAAAAAATTGATATAAGTAAATTTAGCACCTTTAAAAACATAAAAAACACACGTCTTGGGAAAAATATTTAAAGAATAATTTTTGCCGCGTAAATTTACCTCTCAGACCACTGTGCGTAGGCGAGGATTCAGTTTTGTTTTGCATTTGCTAGTGTGTATTTCGAGCGTTTTAACATACATTAATTTCTTTTATTTAAAATTATAAGTTATAATGTCCTACAAATTGCAAGAGAAATTGACATAAGCTGGTCTTTAGTGGGCAATTCTCTACGTCAAACTAGAGACCTATTCACAGTTAAATATCCGAAACGCTCTATTCCTTCAATTGGAATAATAACAAACGTTATCCAAAGATTTAAGACAAATGGTTGTATTTTGGGGTGCAAATATCACAGTACTCCCAGAATTGATGTAGATGCGGAGATGAAAGAAATAATGGTTTGTGCAATGGTAGAAGAAAATTCAAATACATCAATTCCTAAAATACCAGAAGAGACCGGCATTAGTTTGGGTAAAGTCCACAAAATATAAAAAAAAAATATATCGTTCCTATAAATACCAAGTACATCAGGAAATTTTTCAAGACGAAGAGTACCGGAGAATGGAATTTTGTGAAAATATGATGGAACGCGCAAATGAAGATGAACATGTCATTGAAAACATACTATTTACCATTACATGAAAAGCACAATCCTGCTATTGTCCGGTACTGGTCTATGGAAATTGCGTACAGGCAACTAAACATAAAGACTCAGTATCCTGAAAAGTTGAATGTGTGGTCTGGTATTTATGGGAATAATATTATTGGTCCCTTTGTAATTGGTGGCAATTTAAATGGAGCGAGATATTTGGATCTTCTTCAAAATAGAATTATTCCTGCAATCCAAAACATAACCCCAAATTTGGATAACGTTTGGTATCAACAGGACGGTTGCCCATCACATAACACAAGAATAGTTATGGAGTATTTACAAGAGATTTTTCCCCAAAGGATAATTTCTACCAAGGGCGCTATTCGCTGGCCAGCAAGGTCGCCAGACTTGGCTCCTAACGATTTTTTTCTATGGGGATATGTAAAATCTACCTTGTACGGTCATGAAAAAATAATAATTTGGGCGAATTAGAGGCAAGAATGCATACAGCGTTTGAGACAATTACTCCAGATATGCTAGCTAATGTTCGCACCGAATTTTATAACAGACTGGGCTTTTGTTTGACGCAATTTGGGGGAACGTTTGAAAATAGGCTTTGAATAAATTATTCAAAGCTTGTGTTCAAATAATAATTTATTATTTAATTAATTAATTTATTTACATTTATTTTAAGAAGTTTGATTTTTAGTTTTGTTTTAAGAGTATTGATTTATTTATTTTAATTTATTTTCAAGAGAAATATTTTATTTTAGTTTTAAAGAGAATTTTTTATGTTTAAACGTTTTTTATAAGAAAACACTTTTAGTTAAATGCAAAACAAATAATGATTTTACACCTTTATAATTATTAATTTATAGAGAAATGGAAATAAATCAATTTAATATGACGATCGCCGTAAGATGTATTGCCTTTTTTTTCAATATCTCCCTGAACTGGGGATCAAATAAAAGGGTTTTTTCAGTTTTCCCCAAAAAAATCAAAATCCCCAAAATTACCAAAGTTTTAAAAAGGGTGAGTTAAATACCTAATTTTTTATATTAACATATTATATATGAACAAACACTTTATTATCATGAAAAAAACGCAGTTTTAGTGTCGCACCCGTTACAATGGAAATACCCAATACTTTAAACAAAATTATTAAAAATAGTTGAATTTGTACCTTTTTTATTTAATATTACTTTTTTATTTTGTTTCTTAGGGACAAATTCAAACTATGTGTAAAGTTAAAAAAAATATTATTGATTTATAAAAATAAATATTTAATATAGGTACCTAATTGAAAATAATAATAGTGAATTGTATTTCATAATATCGTACATAAAATTTAAAAAAAAAATTTTTACTTTAAAGTTCAGAAAAATTTTAAATTTTTAGTTAAAATGATTTTAAAAAGGAGTAAAAAGTCACCTCTATAATGTAATAATAATAGTTTTTGCTAAGCTTTAAACTAAAAATTGTAGTAGAATTCATTGATTTCATCATGTATTCCAGAACAATCCATACAAAACAACATAACCTTACACTTGATCAAAACACTAAATAAAAATAAAACAAAAGCTTTGAAAACAAAAAACTCACCCAACACTGTAACAGAAGTGGTTCCATCTCCAACCTCATCATCTTGCACTTTAGACATATCAACTAAAACTTTGGCGGCTGGATTGTCGACACCCACAGACTTCAAAATCGTGGCGCCATCATTGGTAACCTCTACGCTGCCAGCGTTTCTGCCGCTCGAAACCAAAATTTTGTCCATGCCTTTGGGCCCCAAAGTACTTTTAACCAAATCGCCAATGGCAATTGCACCTACAAAACTCGAGAGACGAGCTATTTCACCTTTTTCCTCCTCTGCTTCCCTGTTGAGGATTCTCACTGGATTTAGGGAGACCTAAAATGAGGATTTTGTTATTTTGCATCACATTGAAACAAACCAAGATGGGGGTGAGCTAAAAATGTCATCCTCTTGTCATTTTTCCAGTATATTAACCAGGATTTGTTTATGAATCAATACTATTTAGTTGAAGTATAAATGTCAGGCTACAGAAAACAAAAATTCTATGGCCAATTAAAAATCGGTATTTCATATTTGAGTTGGCCATTCTTTTTAGCCTTGTGTCAAAAAGTTAAAAAAGTGACAATTTCTGTATATCTAGAGCGTATTAACAACTGTCAATTTTAAAGAAAATGTACATTTTAACGTGTATTTAACACGATTTTCGTATTTTAGCACGTGGGTTAGCCGGTTCATATTTCTTGTTAACCACACCTGATTTTTAAAGGCGAGTTTAAACCCCTTTAAAGTAATGTAAAGATATAAAATGTACTTAATAATCATTATTAATGTGTAAATAATGTTGTTCGTCAACATACCATGTTTAAATGTGTTTATTTGTTAAAATATATCGAAAATTAATCACAGCACCACTCAAACGTCAATTTAGTAACAATGAAAAGTATGACTAACGATTACCAACTTTTTAGATTTAAAGTTACTAGTTTACCCGGCAAATTCAAATAACTTTAATAAATTTTAACTTTTGTAATAAAATTAAGTTAATAAAATTTAATTAATGACTTGTTTATACTTATAACGTGTATATTTATAGTTTCGGCGTAAAAATGTCAATATTAGGTGTGTAATATGCGTTTCAAACGTGGTAATTTGTCATTTTCGACTGAATTATGAGGGAATTTTAGGTCGCAAAGGCGCGCGTTCCAATTCTTCTGGTTTGGCACGGTGCAGAGGAATTTTGCTTTTTCGAGGCGTAAAAATGCCCCGGTTTGGATTTTTTTTGCCAAGTGAAGAAAATACAAGCGCGGTTGTCACGTGGTTTATGAGGTGTGCATGCATGTGTATGGTAGGCAACGCTGCGAGAGCGGGCACCGCGGGCTAAATTTGGAATCCCCTAGGCGCACAGTGGGAAAGTGAGAAATAAAAAAAATAAATACATATTTAATTAGAATATTATAACATTTATAAATCAATACTTTTTTTTATACCTCAATAATTGATCAATTATTAGGATTAAATTAATTAATTGATAAAATAATGTTTTTTTTTACCTTAAATGAGGTAGGTATTTTTATTAAAAATAGTACAATAAAACTTTAAATTAAAGGATTTAATGCTGGCAGGTAAAAAGTGACCATGGTGCGCAATTGATAATAATTATTATCACCGAATGAATGTATAAAACTTAAACCAAAGAAAACTTAAATATTAGTTAAAAAATTGTGGGTACTTAAAAAATCAGATTTAATTTAATAAGATAATTATTACAAAAAAAAGTGATATTTTTATAGAAAAATTATTGCAAAATCGTATACAGAAAAAATATCGAACAAAATTGATTTTTTTCATTACAGCGCCATCTATTACAAATATGAAAAAACGTTTTAGACAAAATCTACCTATTTTTAGTCGAATGATCCGAATCTGCAATAAAAAATGGGTGTTCCATTGGAAATTTTAAAGTTACCCCCTGTTCCCCCTATAAGGAGGAGAGTATGAGGACCAATTTTAGCACTGATTGATTTCCCCCCTCGAATCATTTAATTTTTATTTTAAACATTTTTTCGTAAAATGCATACTAACTGATATATTTCAAAGTTTCATGTTAACTTACTCACCCTGTATACAGGGTGTCACGCCAAAATAAGTAAGTTTTTCCTCATTTTTGCATTAGTAACATTTTTTTCTAATAAAAAAATCATTGGAGGGTCATTCCACGTTACTCGGGGATTTTTGTCCCGCCCGTCACAATTAAAAATTGTGAGTAAAAACTCCACGTTATAAAATTTATTTTAAAATATTGTTTATTATGCTTTTAATAAGTTATAAGCAAATTAAAAATAATATTATAAAATATTAATTTAATAACTTGTAGTTTTTACTCACAATTTTCAATTGTGACGGGCGGGACAAAAATTACCGAGTAACGTGGAATGCCCCTGGATTTTTCTAAAAACTGTGGACTGAATTTTTTTTTATATAAATCATTTTTGGTCGTGTCAATCGACATCTTCAAAGTTTTTTAAATGATCACAATTGTGATCATAAGTTTTTTAAGTTAAAAAACGCTTTTGGAATGTGTTTTCATACATTTGGGACACCCTGTATATACCTACAGGGCGTTTTATTCAATCCCTGCATTATAAAGATTTTTTCTTTTAACATTATTATTAAATTTTGTCCCACTGTGCGGGCGTCCCGATGCCTCCGAAATGTTTGGATGAGTCGGCCAGCAAGCCAGAGAGTGTCCAACTGTTTTTGTGCAGTACTGTAGTGTTACTGGGTGTCCCGGAATTTTTTAATCGGACAATTTTTACCGGGCCAAAAAATATCGCATTTAAAAAAATCAACCTTAAAGTAAAAAAATCTTTGGGTTTTAAAATAGTTTGCGAAAGTCACATATCGGCATTTCCGGGTGAAAAGTTACGCCAAAATAGGTAAGAAAATTTGTTTTGTGGTTTTTGTTAGTTAAACACGGTTTGGTTGGTTAAAAGTTTTTACAACTTTTTTTCATTTCGTAAAATTCAATACGTGGATCAATAAAACTGAGGTTATTACCTTATCGTTAAAAATAACTTCCAAACATAACAAGAAATATCCATGCCTTAAAATTTCACATCTTATCTTTAAAGTGGAATTTTATTTAAAAACCAGCTCTGTTCCAATGTTTCGGTCATAGCACAGATTTAACGAATTTTATTTCCAATTTATTATTCAAATTATTATTTGATTTTTCAGGGTCCAAATTATGATTAAGGTGGATGAAACGGACCCTGTAGGGGGTAAGTTGTTGATTTAATTATGTCATGAAAAAACTTTATTGTATATTTTTTATTAAAAACCATTCAACAATATTTGTATTTTAAATACAAAATTATTGGGTTAAGGTTATAAAGTTGGAATTTAGCCAAAAATCTTGTGAAAATCCAGACAAAACTTTAAAAAAATTCAAATATTTATAATAAGGAAACCATAAATGTTATTTAGTAAATACTTACAGGTTCACTATATTTCACATTTCTCAAGTTCATGTTTGTAATGTTGACAGTTCTTTTTATAAGAAATTTGACAACGTCAAATAAACATCACTTTTTTTTTGTAGAAGAATATCATTTAGGGTGTGCTTTGAAAAGTTATGTCAAAATTTAAGTTGGCATTTCTTATTTTTGACGTCTTCCGACAGTGCAGTGACAATACAGTGTTTGTAGAAACATTTTTCAAATTTTGCACGAAAAAACATCTAAAAATATACATATATACGCAGTAATTCTGATATCAAAAACAATATGCGTGTTCTCTGACATGTGGATGATCTTAAATTATAACGAAGCAGCCTAAAAGTTCAGCCAAAGTATTTTGGATGACCCCCCTAAATAGTTGTTACGTCAATTTTGCAAGTGGCGCGAGTTTATTTATTTACTTTTATTTAGTCTTGATCTTGATTTGCGTGTTTGAAGATTGAATGGAAGAAATCGAACTCTAGTTTTTTGGTAATAGTTTTTTTTGAAAATGTCTCTTGCCAGGATTAGCTTTGATTATGAAGAAGAAGACCCTTGGGATGGTATATGGTTTTTTATTTTTTTTATCAATTTTTTATGTTGATTTCCTGATTTCAATGATTTTTTTAACTGTGACTATTTAATAACGATTCTATGTAGTTATTCATATTTTAATATAAACAAATAGGTACAGTTATTTTTTTTTAATCTGGACTCGTATTTTTTTGTTAGGTTGGTGGCTTATGCCAGTTTGACTTGGTATTTTTAGTATTTAAAAATGGTAGGTACTTCTGCTAAAGAATTTAATTAAATACTTTGACGCTGTCAAATTGACAATAATATTTATTATTGATAATTTACAATTATAAATAAAAAGATAATTATGCCAAATATAAAAGCAACGAATTCGAATCATAGATAACAAAGCCCTTTTGAGGGCAAAACTTAATTTTGATGAAATTATGCCAAATGCCACAATGGAAGAAAAAGTACATCGCCTTATGAACATTTTTGGAGTAAAAAAGTAACGAATTTGGTTTTATAAATATTACATCACACATTATTTTCACATTATACACCATTGGACAACATTTACGTTTACAAAAAATTTTAATTTCTTTTCGCTAGGAATACTTTCTCTTCTGGGCCGTAAAGCAAGGTATATTTAACTACTTTTTTATATGATTTTACTCATCCAAGCACCACCAAAGCCAAATTAATTGCATTTTTAACTACGAATTTCGACAACTCAATTTGACAACTGCACAATGTAACCTACAATAATTTATACATAACCACAATTAGATTTATAACTAGCTTAGTTTGTTTTAATCAATGTGACCAACTTGACAACTGTATTTACCAACCCAGATGACTTTATATACCCTGCTGAAAATGACGGATGATTGCGGATATAAATTCTTCGTCAAAACCGGATAAAAGCAGATGATTGCGGGTATAAATTCTTCGTCGAAGCCGGATAAAAGCAGATAAAAGCGGGTAAAAATATCATCTGATAACATCTGCTTTTGTCCGCATCGCTATATCCGCGAACACCCGGTTGGTTGTGTTTTATGTCCGGTTAGTGCACCCCCGCAATCATCTGCAATCATCTGTTTTTAACCGTCTTCACTGTGTTTCGTTTATATCTGAATTTGTCCGGAATCATCTGCAAACTTCTGCTTACGTCTGTTTTTATCCGCGATTACCTGCATTTTTTTTCGTCTATTTTTGTCGGGTTTTATCTGCAAACGTCTGGTTTTATCCGCGAGCATATGCTTTTACCCGCGAACATCTGCAATCATCCGCGAACATCTGCTTTCATCCGCGAACATCTGATTTTATCCGCCAACATCTGCTTTTATCCGCGAACATCTGCTTTCATCCGCGAACATCTGCAGTCACCCGCGAACAACTGTTTTTATCCGCGAACATCTGCAATCACCTGCGAACATCTGCAATCACCCGCGAACATCTGCTTTCATCCGCAAACGTCTAGTTTTATCCGCAAACATCTGTTTTCATACGGTTTCACCCACAAACATGCTTTTATCTGCGAACGCCTGATTTCATCCGGTTAGTGCACCCCCGCAATCATCTGCTTTTATCCGCGAACATCTGCAATCACCCGCGAACATCTGCAATCACCCGCGAACATCTGCTTTCATCCGCGAACATCTCATTTTATCCGCGAACATCTGTTTTTATCCGCAAACATCTGCTTTCATCCGCGAACATCTGCAGTCACCCGCGAACAACTGCTTTTATCCGCAAACATCTGCTTTCATCCGCGAACATCTGCTTTTATCCGCGAACATCTCATTTTATCCGCGAACATCTGCAATCATCCGCGAACATCTGCTTTCATCCGCGAACATCTGATTTTATCCGCCAACATCTGCTTTTATCCGCGAACATCTGCTTTCATCCGCGAACAACTGCTTTTATCCGCGAACATCTGCAATCACCCGCGAACATCTGCAATCACCCGCAAACATCTACTTTTATCCGCAAACATCTGCTTTCATCCGCGAACATCTGCTTTTATCCGCGAACATCTCATTTTATCCGCGAACATCTGCAATCATCCGCGAACATCTGCTTTTATCCGCAAACATCTCAATTTATCCGCGAACATCTGCTTTTATCCGCAAACATTTGCTTTCATCCCCAAACATTTGCTTTTATCTGCAAACATCTGATTTTATCCGCAAATATCTGCTTTTATCCGCGAACATCTGCTTTTATCCGCAAACATCTCAATTTATCCGCGAACATCTGCTTTTATCCGCAAACATCTGCTTTCATCCCCAAACATTTGATTTTATCTGCAAACATCTGATTTTATCCGCAAATATCTGCTTTTATCTGCGAACATCTGCTTTTATCCGCAAACATCTCATTTTATCCGCGAACATCTGCTTTTATCCGCAAACATCTGCTTTCATCCCCAAACATTTGCTTTTATCTGGTTTCATACGGTTTCCCCGTAAACATGCTTTTATCTGCGAACGCCTTATTTCATCCGGTTAGTGCACCCCCGCAAACATCTGCCTTTATCCGCAAACATCTGATTTTATTTGCAAACATCTTCTTTTATCCGCAAACATCTGATTTTACCCACAAACAACTGATTTTATTCGCAAACATCTGATTTTATCCGCAAACATCTGCTTTTATCCGCAAACATCTGTTTTAATCTCCAAACATCTGATTTTATCCGCAAACATCTGATTTTATCCGCAAACATCTGATTTTAATCGCAAACATCTGATTTTATCCGCAAACATCTGCATTTATCCGCAAATATCTGCTTTTATCCGCGAACATCTCCAAACATCTGCTTTTAATTGCAAATCTCTGCTTTCATCCGCGTTCGGTTTGCCTGTATTTCCTTTGTCCATTTCGGTCCTGTTTCGTACACAAACGTCTGGTTTCATTCGCGCTTTTTGTTTTCCTTTTTCTCGTGTATACTTTAGTTAAGTTTACCTGCTTTGTCAAATTTTACTGAGCTTTAACTAACTGGTTGTTAGCCGTTCACGGCACACAACTTTATAACTCTAAAAAAAATTATTTGAATAAAAACAACCTGTAAAGAGAATAAGTTGACATGACATTTTCCCAATGGGAAAATAATTTAATTATATTCACCAGATTTAAATTTAAAAATCAGGTATACTATAGTGAAGAGTACCACAGAAATAATAAGTCTATTAATTCTTACATATATATTAAAAATATTGGTTATGCCAAAATTAAAAAGTTTTTAAAGTTAGATGAAAAATTCTACGCCTAAATAAGTGTTTTTCAAACAAATTCCATACAAATTGAAGATGTTATAATTCCAAATGTATTTGAAATTAAACATATGTTTTCTAACAATTAATTTAAATGTAAGCTTAATGATTAAAAAATATCTATTTATGTCCTTAAAGTATACACGAGAAAAAGGAAAACAAAAAGCGCGAATGAAACCAGACGTTTGCGTACGAAACAGGACCGAAATGGACAAAGGAAATGCAGACAAACCGAACGCGGATAAAAGCAGAGGTTTGCAGTTAAAAGCAGATGTTTGCAAATGTTCGCAGAAATTTGCGGATACATGCAGATGTTTGCGGATAAAATCAGATGTTTGCGTATAAAATCAGATGTTTGCGGTTTAAAACCGATGTTTGCGGATAAAATCAGATGTTTGCGAATAAAATCAGTTGTTTGTGGATAAAATCAGATGTTTGCGGATAAAAGCAGATGTTTGCGGATAAAATCAGATGTTTGCGTATAAAATCAGATGTTTGCGGATAAAAGCAGATGTTTGCGGATAAAAGCAGATGTTTTCGGATAAAATCAGATGTTTGCGATTAAAATCAGATGATTGCGGATAAAATCAGATGTTTGCGTATAAAATCAGATGTTTGCGAATAAAAGCAGATGTTTGCGGATAAAAGCGGATGTTTTCGGATAAAATCAGATGTTTGCGGATAAAATCAGATGTTTGCGGATAAAATCAGATGTTTGCGGATAAAAGCAGATGTTTGGGGATAAAATGAGATGTTTGCGTATAAAATCAGATGTTTGCGGATAAAATCAGATGTTTGCGGATAAAATCAGATGTTCGCGGATAAAACCAGATGTTTACGGATAAATGCAGATGTTTGCGGATAACATCAGATGTTTGCAGATAAAATCAGATGTTTGCGGATAAAAGCAGATGTTTGCAGGTGAAATCTTATGAATCACACTTTTGCGGACTAAATGAGATGTTTGCGGATTAAAACAGATGTTTGTGGATTAAAATAGATGTTCGCGGATGAAAGTAGATCTTCACGTATAAAAGCAGATGTTTGCAGGTGAAATCGGATAAAGCAGACGTTTGCGGATTAAAGTAGATGTTTGCGGATAAAATCAGATAAAACCGGGTGAATGCAGATATAAACTCAAATACAGGTATTTGCGGATGAAAACAGATAAAAGCAGACATAGATCTAAATAGATAAAACCCGACGTTCGCGGATAATATTTATACCCGCAATTGCAGATAAAAACCGACATGCCGGGTAAAATCAGATATGTCGGATAAAAACAGATATAAATGGACATAAAACTAGCTTGGTTTTTTATCCGCAATCATCCGATATTACCCGTCTTTTTCAGCAGGGTAATACCGGTAATTTTGGGAAAATCTGGCAACAACGCAATTAAATATTTGTCAACTTCGCATTATTATTTTGTTGGCCCCATGCATGTGATTTATTTTGGGGGATTTTATTTATTCGTTTTAATTGAATGAGTTTTTTGACGTTTCCTATAAATTTTACGACTAGTATCTTTTAGTTTGTTAAACTTCATTCTTTGTTGCTTGGTATTTTGTTGGGCGCCCCTGTACATAAATTGCGAAAAAAAATTAATTTAGTTTAAGTAATTCAAAGATCCATCTGATAAATTATTTAGTCAAATTTAATTGTATAGGTACTTACTTTTTATTTGATAGGTTTCGAAAAACATGGCAACATGGCATTTTTTATGAAAAAATATACTTTTCTCAATATACCGGTAATTTTGATAACATGTAACACCGCAATTAAATATTTGGCAACGTCGCATTATTACTAATTTGTTGCCCCCCCTTTTTGTGATTTGTTTTCAGTTTACAAAAAAATAAACAGACGAAAAGAACAATATATAAATTTTTTTACTAAAAATGCAGGTAGTGTGCAGAAGTTAATCCTTTAAATAACTACCTAACTATAGTTGTTTGTTTTTCAAGGCGACTATGTGATTTACTTTATTTCATAAAACAATCCAAATTTACCTTACAGATTATAATTACAATTGCTCACTACTAGCTCGGCATTTGTCCAATTGGCTTTTATTCAATTACAATTACAATTAAAATAAACGATAGCTACAAGTATATCTTAATTTCAGAGGTGAAACTGAGCTTCCCATACAGAGATATACAAATAAGAAGAAATGTAGATCCAAAAGACGACTACGAACTTGATTCAGAAATTGGAAGGTAAAGAGGAAATTTACAATACGAGGTGTGTTCAGAAAATATCGGGAATTTTCGTTTTTTGAAACAAATATTTATTTATTCGTCTACATTAATGCTGTCGCCTTCAAAATAGTCCCCATTGGATATTATGCACATGTGTCAGCTCTTCTTCCAATACTCGAAACACTTTTAAAACTCGATCTTTGGGATGGCCTTTAGTTCTTTCAGCGATGCGCTTTTAATGTCATCTATGCTTGCAAAACGACGGCCCTTTAAGTTCTCTTTATTTTTTGGAATAGGAAAAAGTCAGACAGAGGCATGTCTAGCGAATATGGAGGCTGGGGCATCATTACAGTATTGTTTTTGGCCAAAAATGTTGTTCAAAATTTAACAATTTTAGAACAAATTTTGCTGCCACGCGTTTCATACCCAAAACATTTGAAAAAATTTCATGGGATGAGCCAATCGATATACCAACATCATCAGCGACTTCTCTGATGGTTTATAACCATTTCTTCCACTTTTTATCGGTTGTTAATGTGCGTTCGGGGCGTTCGTCATCTTCAACGTCTTCACGGCCATCTTGGAAACTCTTATACCACTTGTAAACTCTTGTTTTACTTATAGCAGACTCACTATAGGCCTTTGTTAACATTTCACAGAATTTATTTCATTTTTTAAGCAAAATTGTATACAAATTCTTTGATCCATTTCTTTTAACGAACGAAAAATCGCCGAGCTCATAAAACACGTCTAACCTTAGCGGCTGCCACAGAAAAAGTAAACAATGAAAACAGCTAAAGTTTTTATCATACTCCAGGGGCATGTATACCAACATAATAAAGAAAATTTTATGACAACCGGACCCTCCGAACCCGCTAAATTTAACAATTCCCGTTAGTTTCTGAACACACCTAGTACGTCATTTATATTTTATTCCGCCACTATTATTAATAAACCAAGTAGCACAACTGGTTAAATTAACGTTAAATTTACGTTATGCCTGAATTAATTTAAGTAATACACGGTGCTGTTCTGAGAGGTGATTTTTGGACTTTCTGTGAAACCTAATTTTTTTTATATTCTTGTTAATTAGGTCATAACTAAAATTTTAAGAGCAAAATAAAAAAAATTTGACGGTTTGAATTGTTTTAATTGGCTGTTTATTAAAAATATTATGCACTCTTTCAATTATCCAATTAAAACTAGCGATTTAATTTAAATATTTAATATTTGCATAACTAAAAAAAAGGTTTTTACAATTTTTTTTATATATTTTACTGTTTTGTTGCAATAAACGTTCAAACTTTTAATCTAACCTTTGACGTATACATTTATCTTCCCTTATCCCTATCTTTCTGCAGAAAGGAACCAACCCACAAAACCAAAAAAATCGAGATATTTAGCCTATGAACTAATTAAGTATGTATAATTTATCTGCAAAATAGGTCATAGCCAAAATGCAAGTGTAGTGAAATCTATTAATCATTGAACCAACCATCATTCAATAATAGTGTGGATTACTAATCCAGAATTAGAATCTGTAGAATATCTGCAAGTGGGTTGGATCTTTTTTGTAAAAAAGCAGGCTGGTTGACCCACTACCAAAGTCTTTAAAGATTTCCTGCTTCTGCAAAATATAAAGTCTTGATGCATTTTTTTGGTAGCTTACAAGATGAGGTGGGGTTGGAAGATGATGTGGACGAATTTCAAATAGAATCAAAATTAATTCATATTACCATTATAATAGTAATATCAGTTGTATTTTGTTTGGAAATAAATAATTGTCGCTTTTCTTTAAATACATACATACATCAGATAGTAGTTTTCATAAATTGCAGAAAGGAATCAACCAACAAAAGCCCATTTTTTTCGTCACCCTTACACATAACATCACAAAATCCACCTGATGAAATTATTACATTATATCCCTTAAACCTCCGTAAGTCCAAAATCGGCATAAAATTAACAGGTAATTTTAAAATTATTAAAATCTTTGATAGCTTTTTTCTCAGTTTCATCATGGTGTGGGTTGGTCCCATTCTGCAGAAAGCCGTCCAATTTATATATCCTTAAAGGTTGCCAGGAAACTTAGATCTATTAAAAATTTATTTGACGTTTGAATTGTCATTTTCAGTATACGTATTCTATAATTTTTGTTTAGTTTTTTAAAATGTTTTTTATAAACCAAAATGAAAAATTGTAGTAAAAGTTACGAAGAAATTCATGAAATTTAACTAAGGACCGGTTTATTCATCTTTAGTAAAGTTTATCGGGCCGATAACTTTCATGTCTTGGCAATATCTAGTATCCAAAGAAATTATTCGTCAAATAAATCAAAAATGAATAAATCGGCCCTAAATAAAATGTGGCACCCTTAGAATTATTGTTTAATAAATGTATACTATACATTTAACCTTAATAGGCTGCCTAACAGCATTAAAAATTTTAAAGGTCACCAATTTAAAAAAAACATAAATGATTATATTCAATATTACAGGGAGGACTAAAAAAGACTGAAGAAAAAAAAAACTTAAGTTGAAGTTAAAGCTTGCTTTATTTATTTTAAGTATGTATATCTGTGATATTTAATGATGACTGTATTAGTGATAAATGTATATGTATAAATGTGTATAGTGTATTTAAGTAACTATAAAAATTGTGTATGACGATTGTTAATGTAAATATGTACTGAATTATAATGTGTATATAGAGGTGTCCCTCTATAAACTATCCTTTATATGTTTTTTGGGACGAATAAAGAATTATTTATTATTATTATTAAAAATTAAAACTTAAAACGTGTATTACAACAAAACAGTAAAAGATATAAAAAATGTATAGACCTTTTTTAAGGAAATTAACTAATCTTTAATCTGATTTAAAAAGTTATGATAATATTTAAATAAAATCGCAAGTTTTAATTGGAGAATTGAAAGTGTGCATACATATTTTTAATAAAGATCCAATTAAAACAAAATTAACCGTCAAATTTTTTTTATTTTGCTCTTAAAATTTTAGTTATGACCTAATTAACAAGAATATAAAAAAAAATTAGGTTTCACAGAAAGTCCAAAAATCACCTCTCAGAACAGCACCGTGTAATATTGTACTACGTTAAATTAACCTTAAATTAACGTAAATTTGTAATTCAATTATGGTAAAATTAACGTTTTTAGTTAAATTTAACTTCTTGGTTAATGTTCCTTTTGGTTAAAAAGAAGGTAATATTTGGTAGTTTTTGATTATTTTACCCTTTTTTAACTGCTTTTTAACTCTTGTCAACTTAAACTATATTTAACCGGTTTATTTCAACTCTAGAGTTGTTGTTAATAAAACACTATTACTATTACTATTTAGGGGCAAATTCGGCACAGTATACAAATGCAAAGAAAAATCCACCGGTCTCCCTTTGGCAGCAAAATTCATAGGATGTCCAAAAAAAGAAGACAGAAGAAATGTGGAACGGGAAATCGACATCATGAAGGCCTTGCAACATCCCAGATTAATCCAAGTATACGACGCATTTGAGAATGGAAAAGTCATGTGCGTCATATTGGAATTGTAAGTAAAACAGTTTTATTGAATCTCCCGCGAATACTGTAGGTAATTCACCTAAATAATTCGTTAAATAATTTTCTTTAAGTAGCTTTGCAATTGTGGTTGAAGTGAAAATATTCCTTCCTCAAAACAAAACTTTCCAGACAGTGAAATATTTAACATATCCACTAGACTGGGCCAAAAAATCGACTATTTTTTTTTTGGAAAGTATATCGAAAATATTGTTTGGGGTGACAAAAAAAAATTATGGTGAAAGTTTGAGTCCATAATATTAATATTAAGAGGTCTATCATCGCAGTTTTAGATTTTTTTCCTTAAATCATTGAGTTTAACAAAATTGACTTGGGAATATTTTTTGAAGAAAATTGAATGCTCTACAAAAAAGGTTTGATTGGAAATTTCCGTCAGATGAACACTTTTCTTACAATCAAAAAATATTTTTTTAAGAAAATTAAATGCTCTACAAAAAAGGTTAAAGTGAAATTTTTCGTCAGATGAACCGTTTCCTTAAAATCATGCCTTAAAAATTGGTATAGTTTTACATTTTGATCTTTTAAATTGGAATTTTGTAATTCATGTAAAAATCAGTACCCATAAAAAACCGATAAATATTCTTATGGGAAATCAAATGCTTTACAAAAAAGCCTCTTAACATTTTTGGCTAAATTCACTCCATCAAAAGTTATTCAAGGTTAAATTTGAAGTCAAAACGAAATTTTAACCTTGAATAACTTTTGATTGAGTGAATTTAGCCAAAAATGTTAAGAGGCTTTTTTGTAAAGCATTTGATTTCCCATAAGAATATTTATCGGTTTTTTATGGGTACTGATTTTTACATGAATTACAAAATTCCAATTTAAAAGATCAAAATGTAAAACTATACCAATTTTTAAGGCATGATTTTAAGGAAACGGTTCATCTGACGAAAAATTTCACTTTAACCTTTTTTGTAGAGCATTTAATTTTCTTAAAAAAATATTTTTAAGTCAAAAAATTAAAATTGCGATGATAGACCTCTTAATATGAATATTATGGACTCAAACTTTCACAATAATTTTTTTTGTCACCCCAAACCATATTTTCGATATACTTTTCAAAAAAAAAATAGTTGATTTTTTTGGCCCAGTCTAATATCCACTAATAATATGAACACAGTGGTCAGTCAAATAACTAAAATTTTTCTTGTTACTTTTTTGAACGAGTGCCAACAATTCGTGTATATTATAAAAAATATTCACCCTTGAAATTGGCAGTTTAATAGCCATTTTATTTATACGAAATTAAACAATCGTAGTTGTTAAGGTTTGATTTAAAATTTTTGGTTTGGGAGAATATCTAACGCCCACTAAAAGTTATAAAGATATATATTTAACGTATTTGTTATTTTAATTACGGTATTAGAGAATCATTTAAATACATTCATGTTGGCACTGAAATTTGTATGAAGTTAAAACGTGTGGAAAATATTTTTTTAAATTTATATACATTGTTTGGGCTTATAATAGCCCTGATAGCAAAATTTTATTCTAAGAATCTTCTAAGAAGATATGACCTTCCCTTATTGCTAAGATTGTTCTTAGGGACTTTTAAAACATTCAATAGATGCCCTTTTAATGATGCAATTAGATTCTTAGAAGCTTCTTAAAACCTTCCTAAAAAGCAATCTAAGAACATTTTAAGAATACGTTTTTGGAATGTTCTCAGAAGGTTTCTTATGGAGCTTCTAGGAAGCTTTTGAGAATATTTCCAAATATTTCAGACACCCACGTTCTAATATGTTGGATTCTACATTCATAAAATTCTTCAGGAGGCGACAAATACGCCTCACTGTCATAATATGACAGTGAAATGTATTTGTCGTCCCCTTAAAAATGTTTGCGGCATTAATATATATTTATTTAAAAATATTAAATAAACAATTTGACCTCTAAACCATAAGTTGTATGACATTATTTCATAAAAAGTAAAATTGGAAAATTTTGTGGGATAAGTCAGATTAGATTGAAGTTGAAGATAGTTAGGATTATTATACATAAAAATGTTAATTCAGAAATAAAAAATCGGTATACAAATTAATAAATATTTATTTTTAACATAAAATAAAATATAATAAACAAAATATTTTCTTATAAAATAATTCTTCACAAAAGAAAAAACCTAATAGTTCTTCATAAAAAAACAGTTTTCATTGTATTTAAGTTGGATAGAAGATTTTATGTAAAAGCCGTATAATTTAGATACCTATAGTAAAAGTATTTTTGTTATAGAATATTGTTTTAATTTGACAAATAACTATAAAAAATATTTTGGGTTGTGGTTTTTATACGTAGATTATGGTATATTTTTTATTATATAGGTACCTAACTGAACTGAATATGCTAAACAGAATGTTCCAGGAATATTCCTAAATGAACTTTTTATAGCAATTACTTTTTCAACATTCTAAGCATTTGTTTAGAGTGGATTAATTTTTACTACTAAACTTTGCACCTTCTAAGAACCTGCCTATAGGCCAGTGAGAATATTCTTAGGATTATGCTATATTTCTTTTAAGCATGTTCTTTAGAAGAAATATAGCATGATCCTAAGAATATTCTCACTGGAAGGTTTAAAAAACATTCTTAGAACATGACTAGAAGAAATATAGTATGATCCTAAGAATATTCTCACTGGAAGGTTTAAAAAACATTCTTAGAATAAACTGCCTTAGAATAAACTTGCCTAATTGGAGTGTAAAAAGCATACACTTGAATGTACATCTCTCGCCTAGCGGCTCGAGACGCAAACCTATTTAACACTTTTTCTTACATAATTTCTACAATAAATTTACTTTAAAAAAATTTAAATTCCAATACTCCATTCAATATTTCATCTCATTCATAACATCGAAAATATTTACTACAAGTATTAATTACGAATCGCCGAAATATCCAGTGACGTAGTCCAGCGATTAATAAAATCTGGCGACGGCCGGTTCGCACATAAAATTATAAATACAAAAATTCATAAAAATAAGCGTACAATAAATAAGGTTAAGTCAAGTTTACCAAAATAAATATGCCGCCAGAATAGAATCAACTATTTGGCATTCGAACACAGGCATTACATATCTTTATGTGTTTGATAAACAACATTTTATACATTGTGAAATTATAATTTAAAATATTTTAATTTTAGACAATTTCACGCGGTTCTAAAAAAGTTTTGGGAGATTGCTTTGTTTTAGGAAATTTTAGGTACCTAGTTTTGGGTAAAATAAAAAATACCAACTCTAATAAAAATAATCTCCTTGCTTTTTATTGTATAAGTAAGGTTTTTAAGAATTACTAATGGTTAAAAAATGTGGCTACTTATTTGTGCATAAAGCGTTCTGTAATTAAAACTTATTTATAAATCCTCATAAATATTTGAACTTGAATGAAAATAAAAATAACAAATCATTAACGCAAGCTACCAAAACTTTCGGCTTAAAAATAGTTTTCCCATGTGTATTATTGCATTGTTTGAGTATTTATTATATTAAAACTCTTAATCCAGTTGTCATAAAATTTTCTTTATTATGTTGGTATACATGCCCCCGAAGTATGATAAAAACTTTAGCTGTTTTCATTGTTTACTTTGTCTGTGGCAGCCGCTAAGGCTAGACGTGTTTTATGAGCTCGGCGATTTTTCGTTCGCTAAAAGAAATGGATCAAAGAATTTGTATCCAATTTTGCTTAAAAAATGAAATAAATTCTGTGAAATGTTAACAAAGGCCTATAGTGAGTCTGCTATAAGTAAAACAAGAGTTTACAAGTGGTATAAGAGTTTCCAAGATGGACTTTGAAGATGACTCCATAACCACAAAATTAATTTTTTCATCGTGTTTTTTCTTTCTGTTTACTCAGATGAAATAAGGACAAGTTCACAGGTTAAATTTTAAACATTCAATTTGTGTAAATAAATCCAAAAGCACTTCCCTTAGTTACGATATTTACAATTTGACCACAAGATTCTGTCATAAAAGTTGCCAGATTTTGTTTGAATTTACCTTCATTACAAAAATGACATAATAAACAATTAATAAAAACCCCAAATAAACAATTTGCATTGTTAATTTTGTCATTTTTGTAATTAAGCATTCCCAAGCAACAATTTAAGTATTTGTTACGTATATGGGACTATTGAAGAAACTTTAAAGTGTTTTGCGACAGTCGCCGGTTTCTTTATATTACTCTTTCATTACTAAGTTACGACTAAAGTGGGGAACAATTATTGAGTTCCAAAAAGGTAACAAATATGTCACTAGCTATGAACCCTACTAGAACGTTCCAATATCGTTGCTAAAGCGTTATAATTACTTTTATTTATTTGTTTTTACTTCTATATTAACTGTCTTTGTCAAACTTATATTAGCTTATACTATCCCTCCTTTTTTAAATGGAACCACTACGGACTTGGCTTTTCAATATCGTCGTTTATTAAATATGTACTGGTAGTTTATAACTTCCAGAATAACAATATAATGTTTAATAAGGCAGGTAAATTTATAAACCCTTTAAATTTTACTGTTGAACTTATGAATTTAGTTTTTGTAAAATAAATGCGCTTCATCAATATTTAAGTATAAACAAATTATTTATTTAATAATGTTTATAAATAAAAAAATCTTAATATTTATTATTAATTTTTTTATTTAATTATTAATACCGTCTATTACCAACAAAATTACTATTTATTAAAAAGTAAACAACCATTTACAAACAATTAAAATAATTTATTATTTACATTAGCACTTGGTACTGTACAGTAAAAAATGGCCGATAAGAAGCATTTTCCTTTGAAGTAGTTTTCGCTACTTTAAAGTTTTTTTCCACTTTATGGTTGTTTTGGTTAGTAACATAAACGTTCCAAATACTAAAATAATAACTTTTGAGTTATTAACTTTGTAGTTCCAGTTTCGAGATTTTAACTTGCAAAGGTACTACAAAGTAAAAATAATTATAATGTGATCTTTAGGTAGCAACCGAAAGTAACTGCTACAAATTAAATTTACTTAAAAGTTTCTTTTACTTATAACACCTTTTTTAAAGTTGCAAAGTCTTCTTGGGGGCAACCAAGTTTTACTTAAATGTTTATTACTTTATAGTAACCATTTAAGGAAAAATTAAGTTTCTGTTATAACATATTGTTATTTAAAAGTTAGAATTACTTTTAAGTAAAAATTAAAGTAGCTGTTTAGTATACTTAACTAATTTAAAGTTATCACCACTTCGGCAATGGTTTTTGGAACCAAAAATGCTGCTTGGGTTTTGGCAACTTTTTGACAGAATCTGGAAACGCTGCTTGTTACCAACCATAACATAATAAATTAAATTAGGCAACCGGATAAGCGTAACCCAAGCAGCATTTTTGGTTCCAAAAACCATTACCAAAGTGGTGATAACTTTAAATTAGTTAAGTATACTAAACAGCTTCTTTAATTTTTACTTAAAACTAATTCTAACTTTTAAATAGCAATATTTTGTAACAGAAACTTCATTCTCTCCTTAAATGGTTACTATAAAGTAATAAACATTTAAGTAAAACTTGGTTGCCCCCATTTTAAATAAATAATTTGTTTATACTTAAATATTGATGAAGCGCATTTATTTAAATTTAAAGGGTTTATAAATTTACCTGCCTAATTAAACATTATATTGTTATTCTGGAAGTTAAAAAACTACCAGTATATATTTAATAAACGAAGAAATTCAAAAGTCAAGTCCGTAGTGGTTGCATTTAAAAAAGGAGGGATAGTATAATCTATATAAGTTTGACAAAGACAGTTAATATAGAAGTAAAAACAAATAAATAAAAGTAATTAAAACGCTCTAGCAACGATATTGAAACGTTCTAGTAACGTAACAGCTACGTTCCAAATAGTAGCAGCGTTTATAGCTAGTGACATATTTGCTACCTTTTTGGAACTCAATAATTGTTCCCCACTTTAGTCTTTTTAATATATTACATTAATTACATAACACCCTGTACAATAAACACTCAAACAATGCAATTTATTTCTTTATAGAATAGAGGGAGGAGAACTTTTCGAGCGGGTCATAGACGACGACTTCATACTGACTGAAAAAAGTTGCACCGTTTTCATGAGGCAGATCTGCGAGGGCGTGGAATTCATACACAAACAAAAAATTTTACATTTGGACATGAAGGTGCGATCCAAAAAAATATCCGAAACCGTCAATGTTTTTTGTGCATTTTTTCAGCCCGAAAACGTTCTGTGTTTGACCAAAACAGGCAACCGAATTAAAATTATAGATTTCGGCTTGGCCAGGCGTTTCGACCCGGACAAAAAATTACAAGTTTTGTTCGGCACCCCCGAGTTTGTGGCACCGGAGATCGTTAACTTCGACGCCATTGGTTATGGTACCGATATGTGGTCCGTAGGTGTCATTTGCTATGTTTTGTAAGTATAAATATTAAGTAGTTAAATATTTGTTTTCATGTAAGTGACCTTTTAAATACACATTGACAAGTTGTGGCTTTATGGGGCTTTAGTCACGGGCTGAAGTGAGCAACAGGTCTTTAGTCACGGGCTGAAGTTAGTTGACCGTTGTCAAATGTCATACAATCGTATAAATTATTTTAGTATCTCAATAAAAAATTATTAAACAGTAACGCCAAAAATGTAAAGTTGAATATGAAAAGCTAAATCTAAATTAGAATATAAAAAAAACTAAACAAGAAGTCAATAAGGAACCTAACGAAAAATATAAAGAAAAAGCTAAACTAAAAGCTATAGGAAAAGCTAAAGAAGAAGCTGGAAAAAATTTGAAAAATTAAAAGATTTTAATAAATCTAAAGTTTACAAAAAAGCTTAAGAAACTAAATAAGGCAAACTTAGCTACAAAATATGCTAAAAAAAGTTAAAGAACCAGTTGAAGAATAAGCTGAGGAAACAGCTAAAGAAGAAGCTAAAGAACATAATAAAGAAAAAGCTGCAAAGACGCTAAAAAAAGTTTAAAAAGAAGAAGCTAAAAAAAAGAAACATAGAGAATAAGCTAAACAAGACCTTCAAAGCTTTGAAAGACCTAAAGAATCTGAAGAATTTAAACAATTAAATGAATCCGAAGAATACAAAAAGAAACTTAGTAAAGTGAAAATAATTAGTAAGGTGAAAATAATAGTGGGTAAATGAGTAAATTATTTTAGTCTCTATAAAAAATTATTAAAAAAATTATTAAAAAATTATTAAACAGTTTTTTCACGCCAAAAATGTTTAAAACAAATCTAAACAATAAGTTAAAGAATATGAAAAGTTAAATCTAAAGTAGAATCTAAAAAAAAACTAAACAGGAAGTCAATAAAGAACCTAACGAAAAATATAAAGAAAAAGCTAAAATAGAAGCTATAGGAAAAGCTAAAGAACATACTAAAGAAGAAGCTGGAAAAAATCTGAAAAATTAAAAGTATTTAATGAATCTAAAGAATACAAAAAAGCTTAATAAACTAAATAAGGCAAACTTAGCTACAAAATATGCTAAAAATAAGTTAAAGAACCAGTAGAAGAATAAGCTAAAGAAGAAGCTAAAGTACAAGCTAAAGAACATAATAAAGAAAAAGCTGCAAAGACGCTTAAAAAAAGTTCAAAAAGAAGAAGCTAAAAAAAAATAAGAAACATAGAGAATAAGCTAAACAAGACCTTCAAAGCTTTGAAGCCTAACAAAGACCTAAAGAATCTGAAGAATTGAAACAATTAAATAAATCCGAATAATACAAAAAGAAACTAAATAGTAAGGTGAAAATAATAGTAGGTAAAGGTGTAAATTATTTTTATTTAAAAGAATTTAATGAATTTAAAGAATACAAAAAAGCTTAACAAACTAATATATATATATTTTGACAATTATTTCGCTCGTGACTAAAATGCATGTACAAAATAAATACAACAAAATATACCTATTTATTTTTAGATTGTCTGGATTGTCGCCATTTATGGGTCACACAGACGTCGAAACAATGGCGAATGTAACCGTGGCCAAGTATGATTTCGAGGAGGAAGCATTTGCGGAAATCACAGATACCGCCAAGGATTTCATAGAAAAACTTCTTGTCAAAGACATGACGTAAGTATTTCAGATAATTCATTGTTTTGCATGGACAAAGACCCAAATTAGTTGCGAACGAAAACTGTCTGGAATGTAGTGAAATCTAGAAGAAAAGGTTGGTACATCAAATTTCCCAAAAATTGCTTAATTTTTATATGTTTCGGGCATTTTACCGCCTTTTTGACTACTTTAAAAAGCGTAAAACTGCCCGAAACACTATAAAAACTCAGCAACTTTGTATAAAAAAAGTTGGGGAGTTACTGCCCTTTAAGTTAGCACGGCAGTATAGGTTCTAATATGACACAACAAACGGAAAAATATAGAAGTGTATAGGATGACTCCCCGTTTGAATACGAAATCTTAAAGTTTTATCAGAACTGTATTGAATCGTGCTTTGTTTTTATATTTTTTGCCTCTATACCTATGCACGACTATAGTTAAAGTCAAACTCAATGGTGTCTTACAAGATGCATTATTTTGATTTTCTATATTCGACAGAGAGGTAGAAACTCGACCCTGTCGAATGGTGCAGTCATTTTTGTCTCTAGAAATTATTGAAAAAGGGGGCAGTCCAATGGCGCAGCAACTTCGGATTCTTATTCTCTTCAGAGACATAGAAACTCAATCTTTTCGAATTTTACTGGCAACGATTTTCGTTAATGTCCCCGAGAATTCTACAAAAACATCGCAATGCAATATCGCAACGGTTTCGACTTCTCTTTACTCTACCAAGTTATAGAAACTGGAGTCTCTTTAATACTGTTCTGGTCAATATTTCTGAGAGTATAAAAAGAGGGAGTAATTCAATATTGTAAAAAGTTTTGATGTTTTGATGGATGCAATTATTTTGAATATACTCATTTCTGCATATGATTTTGTTGAAAACAGTTCCTTTCTTTGGTTCCTTTGTATGATTTTTATTTACCGTAACAACTCAGGTATGTAAAGCACAGAGGATATGATGTAAAGTATATTTATGTATTATAAAGAACCGATATTTGCATTAAACATTTCAGAGGTTATGTTAAAAAAATGATAGATTTACTTTAATATATTATTAATGAGGTCTGTTGGTAGACCCTGCACTATCTCCACTGGTATATGTAGTACAGCAATATTTAAATCTGGTTGATCAAAAAGTAGACACCAGTGCAGGTTATTGTAGCATCTACGAACAAATGAATTAATGGCCCATTGGCAATTATTTCTTTAGGAAAAATATTCGACACAGCTTAATTAAAAAAAAACACAATCATGTCGTATATAGTTTTTTTTCAAGCATAAAATAATTCATATTAATACTAGTTCAAAAGTCAAATTACGACCTCTATACTGTGGAGAGTATTGAAACGCTCTGTTTTTAAGGGTGCTAAATTTACTTCTTATATAAATTTTTTTCAAAAATATTTGGTATTGAGGGGGCTAAATCTAGCCAAATGATATAAAATAAATTTTTTTAATATTTGTGTATTTTTTGTTTTTTTTTATGTTTTATATTTAATAATTTATTTATCAAATAAATAAATGTTTATACCAGGGGGCGATCGCCAATTTTGGCGATTGCGACATGGCGCAAGCAAAATTTTTTATCATGATCATATTCGAATAACCGAAAAACCATTACCTTCAAAGTATCAAAAATAAATTATTATATCAATATTTTACATTTCACCATATTTCTTTTTAACAACCCTTTAGCCAATATCGTGATGGTTGACAATAGGAAAACTTATTATTTTTATTATGCGTTAAATACTCTTGCTTGTTTTAAAAATGAGATTCTTATAGAACAATAATTATTGTACTACCCTCTTAAAGCACTTTGCTGTTTTTTTATTTTCTGAGCATCCTGGACATTTAATTAAAAATGTTTGTTAGGAATCTCATTTTTAAATACAAGCAGAAGTTTTTATGAAGAATGATTTTTTGCCATTTCGTTACGAATATCTTACCACATTTTTCTCTTATTTTAATATATAATAAGTCTTAATTTTTAACCATAAAATATTTTCAAAAAGAATTCATTTCTCCACAAAACGCACTTCTAGTTTTTTGGGTTTTTTTAGTTTCTGAGCACCCTGTACATTCAATTCAAAATGTTTGTGTAGGAATCTTATTTTTGAAATAAGCAAGAGTTTTTAAATAACATGTTTTTTTTCGTATCATACCTAATAAAAAAGTTTTTTTCTATTGTCATTACCATCCGTGGGCACACTGTATAATATACAAAGTATATTAAAAAAATAATATTATGTACCTAATAGGAGTAAATAAAATTGTATTACTATTCTTAAATGCAATAATTATTGTCAAATTTAAAAAATATATTACTTTTATGACCAGGTTAGCGGTAATTTGTCGGCCATTTTTCATTTTTGCATAACTCTCTTATAGGCGCATAAAGGCAGATCAATTTTTATAAAGTCAGAGCTGGAGGTTCATATTTTCGAATGCACTATGTGGTTCTGGGCAATTAATTATAAATTTTTACTTATATTCCATTTATTATTTGTAATTACAAAACTTAAGAATTTGTAAGTTAAAAAACGCTATATTTTTGGCAAAAAATCCAAAAAAGACATTTTAAAGTTGTATTTGTACTCAACTTTATCCATACTATAAATTTTTGACACTAATTTTCACTACTATATTTACGCAACACCTTTTTTACACGAAAAAGAAAAGATTCCGAAAGTAAGAGTATTTTTGACAATCTTTTCATGTATTTGTTATAATGCAACGCATACGCAGTAAATTCTACTTCGCAGTTTAAAATCTAAGGTAATAATCTGTCACGAACAATAAAGAGGCATCAATATGAGTTAATAAAGTGTTTTAAAAATTGGATTTTTGCCGCGTAAATTTGCATCTCAGACCACTGTGCGAGGGTTTAGAAAACTGTATTCAAACGTGGCGTCATCCAATACACATCTATTCTATTTTTCCGTTTGCTGTGTGATTTACTAAGACTTATTCAGACTTTTTCCGACTTAATAAGTCTTATTCAGAGTTTTTAAGGGAAAGTGAGACTCTTATTTTTACTCATTAAAACTTCCAGCCGTCAAAAATTCAATACGGCGACGATTTCACCGAATTCCGACAGACTAGATGATACTGACACTTACTAAATTGGGTTGCAAGCATGCGCGACTAACTTCACACTAACCGTGGGTCTTTGTCGTTTGCAGCGAGCGCATGTCCGCTTCGGATTGCTTGAAGCACCAGTGGCTAAAACGGAAAAAACCGCCGGCCCTGCAGAAAGTCCCCTCGATGGACGTCACCAAGGACAACCTGAAGCACTTCGTCGAGCGCTGGAACGAGCACCCCAACTCGCCCTACGTTTTCGAGGTCGACAGCGGGTTGTTGCGGGGGAATTCCCTGTCGGATTCCTCGGAGAGTTTGTTCGGGGGGTCCCCGTCCCCTTGCGGGTCGTTGGGGTCTTCCCCGGGTTCACCAAGTGGCTACTCCAACGGATACCACGACTTGGTGACCCCCCCGAACGTTGATTTCTACAGAAGAGCCTCCGATAGCACTGTTTTAACGGGCAACTACGATGCCGAGGAAAGATTCAACTTGGCCGAAGAAATAAGAAAGCTTTCGGATAAGTTGTACCAACTGTCGAACATGCCGACCAACTTGACCAACGAAGAGTGCCCTTTCGAAGGAACAAAAACCGTGGAAAACATCCAAAGAACGATACCGATACAGATAACCAACAGAAAGTTCGGGGAACTACCGGCGGACCATCCCAACAGTCCCTCGTGCTCCATTCCTTGGCGGCGCGCGAAATTCAAGCTCAACAGCTCGAGCCGCGACGTGCCAATGGCATCTAGAAGCATACACAAGGCCAACTGCTACGGCAAAAGTCCTAAATCTCCCAGCGGGACCAAGGATCTTCTGTTGAGGCTGCTGGATCACTGGCCGGGCACTAAAAGTGCTAGTAGGCCGGTGGCAAGGCACGGCTCGATTTCCTCGAGCTTGATGGAGGACGACAGTTTGGGGCAGAAAACCATCAGCTCGTTGAATTCGTTTTTTCAATCTAGGGCGGCCAGCAAGATCTCGTTCAGCCATCATTGAGAGTCGCTTAAAAACGCTGGGCAACAAATTTTTAATACACTCACGGATTTAAACGAATATTAAAAAATATTGTAGACAAATTAATGGACAATCGCTTACAATTTAAAAAATTACTAAAAAACAGACGTAGGTACGTTTTTAATATACAGGTTTAAACAAAAAGATGTTTTTTACCATAAGTGTAGAGTGGCAAAACCGTATATTGTTCTAAATTAAGTTTTATTTATCAAGTCACATCTATTCTTAACAGTTTTGTTTTTGGTTCACCTCGATATATATTATTTATTTTTGTGGAAACTATGGATTTGTAAAAAAAACATTGCAATTTCCAATATTTTTCTGTATGAAGAACTAAGGTTGCTATGGTCCATCCATAGGCTATGGAGAATGACAGTGACAGTTTTGTTGAATCATACCATACTTGGACATGTCATATACAGCTTTCAAAAGCTATCAAATTGTTTTTTGTAAATTAATGTGTTAATTTTGAGGTGTCTTCTTACTTTTAAAAATGTCTCCGACTGATGTTGCCCTTTGTAATTTACTTCTTGTGACGTTTAAAACACTTGCCACGTAATACTGCGACCGTCCATCCTGGATTAAATTAATGACTCTGGCATCATCAGTCGGAGACATATCTATTTTTTAAAGTAAGAAGACACCTTAAAATTTAAACATTAATTTGCAAAAAACAATTTGACCATAGCAACCTTAGTTCTTCATACAGAAAAATATTGGAAATTGCAATGTTTTTTAAAAAAATCCATATTTTCCACAAAAATAAATATATCAAGGTAAACCAAAAACAAAACTGTTAAAAATAGATGTGACTTAATAATTAAAACTTAATTTAGAACAATATACGGTTTTGCCACTCTAAAGAGTGTCTTAAACTTATGGTAAAAAACATCTTTTTGTTTAAACCTGTATATTATAAGCGTACGTATATTTTTTAGTAATTTTTAAAATGTGAGCGATTCTCCATTAATGTATCTACAATATTCTTTAATATTCGTTTAAATCTGAAATCAAATAAAAAAGTTATTTGCGTTTGAAATTCATCGAAAATTTGTGTGGATCGATTATTTTGCCTGTGAGTGTATAACAATTTTTTTTATTGAAAAATTGTTTAATTTTTTCAAAATTGATCCTTTCCAAGCAACATTTTTGGTTCCAAAAACCATTACCATTTCCTTAAATGGTTACTATAAAGTTGCCCCCAAGAAGACTTTGCAACTTTAAAAAAGGTGTTATAAGTAAAAAAAACTTTCAAGTAAATTTAATTTGCAGCAGTTACTTTCGGTTGCTACCTAAAGATTACATTATAATTATTTTTACTTTGTAGTCCCTTTGCAAGTTAAAATCTCGAAATTAGAACATGACTGAAAACTAAAAAGTTAATAACTTAAAAGTTATTATTTTAGTCAGGGCCTAGCCAACCCAGGGTGCAAAGGCTGCACTGCGCCCGGGCGACAACTATCGAGGGGCGGCATTTTAGAAAATATTTGTGCAGAAAGTGACGGTAAACTTTTTAATATTGTAATTCTGAAGTGCATGGTCTACACCTTTATCTGACAAAATAAGGTTAATGCTAGTAGAAAAGGGTAACCTACTAAATAAGAAAACAACTTATCCCAAAGACGCTAGCACTAGAAATTATTGAAATAAATATTTTTTAAAAACTTTTACCAAATGGGAATCCGTTCAACGCACTTGGATATTCTAAAAAATATACTCTGTGTTTTGTTTTCCATGTAAGTTATTTGGGATTGCATCTAGTTCTTTGGCGCTAGATGGATTTCGAGATTGGCAACATTTATCGCGAACCTTAAGCCGACATGAAAGTTCTAATGATCATATTAAATGTTGCAACAAAATAAGTCAATTACAAACTTCATTAAAGTGTGGCTCAACAATAGATTATTTACAGGAAAAACTAATTAACAGTGAACAGAAAAGATGGTGTTCTGTTTTAGAAAGAATTATATCGGCTGTTAAATTTCTAGCTAAGCAAAACCTAACTTTTAGGGGTAGTTCTAGTAAATTATTTTGTAATGTTACACGTTACACGTCTAACTCGCAGCAGAGCAGCAACAGCAGCCCAGCAGATAAGACCTGAAGATGGTACATGAGATTGTACCGAAACGTCGTCAGACATACGGTTCTTTTAAGAACCAAAAACCGACAAAACGGAGCAGATCCCGATAAACCACTAATACATTCATAATAATTTTATTAAGTTAAAATAGTGTGTTTAAGATTTTTTTTGCTTTAAAGGCCGGCAATCTTTTAATTGCACCCGGCGGCAAAAACACTTGGTGCGGCCCTGATTTTAGTATTTGGAACGTTTATGGTACTAACCAAAACTACCGTAAAGTAAATTAAGGTGGAAAAAACTTTAAAGTAGCGAAAACTTTCTTATCGGCCATTTTTACTGCACAGTACCACGTGGTAATGTAAATAATAAATTATTTTAATTATTTGTAAATGGTTGTTTACTTTTTAATAAATAGTAATTTTGTTGGTAATAGACGGTATTAATAATTAAATAAAAAATTAATAATAAATATTAATATTTTTTTATTTAAAAACATTATTAAATAAATAATTTGTTTATACTTAAATATTGATGAAGCGCATTTATTTTACAAAAACTAAATTCATAAGTTCAACAGTAAAATTTAAAGGGTTTATAAATTTACCTGTCTAATTAAATATTATATTGTTATTCTGGAAGTTATAAACTACCACTACATTTTTAATAAACGACCACATTGAAAAGCCAAGTCCGTAGTGGTTCGATTTAAAAAAGGAGGGATATTATAATCTAATATAAGTTTGACAAAGACAGTTAATATAGAAGTAAAAACAAATAAATAATAGTTATTTACGATATAAGTGGGATAAGAGCTTTATTAACGTACGCATGCGAAATTTGCCCAACGAGTGCGTAGCACGAGTTGGGCAATCGCAAAAGTACGTTAATAAAGCGTTATCACACGTATATTGTACAAATTTTTATCTACGCCTCCAAATGAAAAAATAAACGGTAATTATTTTTGTCTAATACTTAATTTAGGGTTATTTTGACATTTTGACTTTTTTATTTGATTGGTTAAAAGCAGAGAAAAACGCGTGCGTTAATGAACTTCTTATCTCACTCAAAATGAGTGGGATAAGAAGTTCTTATCTCACTGGCGTAGATAAAAGTAATTATAACGCTCTAGCAACGATTTTGAAACGTTCTAGTAACGTAGCAGCTACGTTCCAAATAATAGCAGGGTTTATAGCTAGTGACATATTTGCTACCTTTTTGGAACTCAATAATTGTTCCCCACTTTAGTCGTGACTTAGTAATGAAAGGGTAATATAAAGAGACCGGCGACTGTCGCAAAACACTTTAAAGTTTCTTCAATAGTCCCATATACGTAACAAATACTTAAATTGTTGCTTGGGTTTCTTATAGCATTTTTCGCAAAAGAGATTTTTTTTATTTTGATTTTTCACAAAGATCAATTTAAACGAATCGTGAACACCGTATTTTTTGATGGCGCTTTAATGAAAAAAAATCAATTTTGTCCGATTTTTCTTCTCCAATAATTTTTGAATAAAATACTTGGTTTTATTAATTAAATTTATTTATTTTTTAAATTTTAATTAAAGTAGGTGCTCAAAATGGTGGCCTTCGACTTCAATGCATTTATTAATTAGCATTTCGTTTTAATATTCTGCTAACACTGCTCTATTCCCAAATCTCTGGATAAATCTCGTGTGCTTGCAAGAGGATTAGCGGCCGTTGCTGCCAATTTATTAATTTCATTATTTCCACCTGTGACTGTTGCTCGACGAACTCTTTTTATCGGTTGAACACTCCCGTTTGTAGTAAACTGCTTGACTGTACGGTGAAATGAAGTACGTGATCGAATTTTATCCGGAAAGCGCTGAGCGTAGATATTAACAGCATCATCAAGATTCCTGCCTGCTTCTCCATAAATCAAAATCATTTCTATTTTTTCTTCCACTGTTAAAAAATCCATTATGAATAACTGCTTAACGAAAGGAGGTCTTTTTGTTTGCAAATTAATCTTCAAACTAAATAATGCTAAACTATAAATAGTTTCTTTATACCTCAATAATAATTATTATTTATAACTAATTACCATTTTAAATTAACTAATTGACAAAACAATGATTTTTTAACCTTAAATGAGGTATTTCTGTTAAAAATAGTACAATAATGAAATAAATGTATAAAACTTAAACCAAAGGAAATTTAAATATTACCCTGCTGAAAAAGACGGGTAATATCGGATGATTGCGGATAAAAAACCAAGCTAGTTTTATGTCCATTTATATCTGTTTTTATCCGACATATCTGATTTTACCCGGCATGTCGGTTTTTATCTGCAATTGCGGGTATAAATATTATCCGCGAACGTCGGGTTTTATCTATTTAGATCTATGTCTGCTTTTATCTGTTTTTATCCGCAAATACCTGTATTTGAGTTTATATCTGCATTCACCCGGTTTTATCTGATTTTATCCGCAAACATCTACTTTAATCCGCAAACGCCTGCTTTATCCGATTTCACCTGCAAACATCTGCTTTTTTACGTGAAGATCTACTTTCATCCGAGAACATCTCTTTTAATCCACAAACATCTGTTTTAATCCGCAAACATCTCATTTAGTCCGCAAAAGTCTGATTCATAAGATTTCACCTGCAAACATCTGCTTTTATCCGCAAACATATGATTTTATCCGCAAACATCTGCTTTTATCCGCAAACATCTGTTTTAATCTTCAAACATCTGCTTTTATCCGCAAACATCTGATTTTATACGCAAACATCTGATTTTATCCGCAAACATCTGCTTTTATCCGCAAACATCTGATTTTATCCACAACCATCTGTTTTAATCCGCAAACATCTGATTTTATCCGCAAACATCTGATTTTATCCGCAAACATCTGCTTTTATCCGCAAACATCTATTTTAATCTGCAAATATCTGCTTTTATCCGCAAACATCTGATTTTATCCGCAAACATCTGCATTTATCCGTAAACATCTGCTTTTATCTGCGAACCGCTGATTTTATCCGCAAACATCTGCTTTTATCCGCAAACATCTGATGTTATCCGCAAACATTTGCATTTATCCGTAAACATCTGCTTTTATCCGCGAACATATGATTTTATCCGCAAACATCTGATTTTATCCACAAACATCTGTTTTAATCCGCAAACATCTGATTTTATCCGCAAACATCTGCTTTTATCCTCAAACATCTATTTTAATCTGCAAATATCTGATTTTATCCGCAAACATCTGATTTTATCCGCAAACATCTGATGTTATCCGCAAACATCTGCTTTTATCCGCAAACATCTGCTTTGATCCGCGAACATCTGATTTTATCCGCAAACATCTGCATTTATCCGCAAATATCTGCTTTTATCCGCGAACATCTGCAAAAATCTGCTTTTAACTGCAAACCTCTGCTTTCAACCGAGTTCCTTACTCTAAGGAATTATTTGAATAAAAACAACCTGTAAAGAAAATAAGTTTATTGAACTTCAATATTATTTGGTAAAATACAAATAAGATCTTTGTTAAAAGACATAAATATACATTTTTTAATCATTAAGCTTACATTTAAATTAATTGTTAGAAAACATATTTGTTTAATATCAAATACATTTGGAATTATAACATCTTCAATTTGTATGGAATTTGTTTAAAAAACACTTATTTCGGCGTAGAATTTTTCATCTAACTTTATAAATTTTTTAATTTTAGCATAACCAATATTTTTAATATATATGTAAGAATTTATAGACTTATTATTTCTGTGGTACTCTTCACTATAGTATACCTGATTTTTAAATTTAAATCTGGTGAATATAATTAAATTATTTTTCCATTGGAAAAATGTCGTGTTAAATAAACTTATTTCCTTTACAGGTTGTTTTTATTCAAATAATTCCTTTTAGAGTTATAAAGTTTTGTGCCGCGTACAACCAGTTAGTTAAAGCTCAGTAAAATTTGACAAAGCAGATAAACTAAACTAAAGTATACACGAAAAAAAGGAAAACAAAAAGCGCGAATGAAACCAGACGTTTGCGTACGAAACAGGACCGAAATGGACAAAGAAAATGCAGGCAAACCGAACGCGGATGAAAGCAGAGATTTGCAATTAAAAGCAGATGTTTGGAGATGTTCGCGGATAAAAGCAGATATTTGCGGATAAATGCAGATGTTTGCGGATAAAATCAGATGTTTGCGATTAAAATCAGATGTTTGCGGATAAAATCAGATGTTTGCGGATAAAAGCAGATGTTTGCGGATAAAAGCAGATGTTTGCCGATAAAAGCAGATGTTTGCGGATAAAATCAGATGTTTGCGGATAAAAGCATATGTTTGCAGATTAAAATAGATGTTTGCGGATAAAATCAGATGTTTGCGGATAAAAGCAGATGTTTGCGGATAAAATCAGATGTTTGCGGATAAAAGCAGATGTTTGCAGATTAAAATAGATGTTTGCGGATAAAATCAGATGTTTGCGGATAAAAGCAGATGTTTGCCGATAAAATCAGATGTTTGCGTATAAAATCAGATGTTTGCGGATAAAAGCAGATGTTTGGAGATTAAAACAGATGTTTGCGGATAAAAGCAGATGTTTGCGGATAAAATCAGATGTTTGCAAATAAAATCAGTTGTTTGTGGATAAAATCAGATGTTTGCGGATAAAAGCAGATGTTTGCGGTGGTGCACTATCCGGATGAAATAAGGCGTTCGCAGATAAAAGCATGTTTACGGGTGAAACCGTATGAAAGCAGATGTTCGCGGATAAAATGAGATGTTTGCGGATAAAAGCAGATGTTTGCGGATAAAAGCAGATGTTCGCGGATAAAATGAGATGTTTGCGGATAAAAGCAGATGTTCGCAGATGATTGCAGATGTTCGCGGATAAAATGAGATGTTCGCGGATAAAAGCAGAAGTTCGAGGATGAAAGCAGATGCTTGCGGATAAAAGTAGATGTTTGCGGTGATTGCAGATGTTCGCGGGAGATTGCAGATGTTAGCGTATAAAATCAGATGTTTGCGGATAAAAGCAGATGTTTGGAGATTAAAACAGATGTTTGCGGATAAAAGCAGATGTTTGCGGATAAAATCAGATGTTTGCAAATAAAATCAGTTGTTTGTGGATAAAATCAGATGTTTGCGGATAAAAGCAGATGTTTGCGGTGGTGCACTATCCGGATGAAATAAGGCGTTCGCAGATAAAAGCATGTTTACGGGTGAAACCGTATGAAAGCAGATGTTCGCGGATAAAATGAGATGTTTGCGGATAAAAGCAGATGTTTGCGGATAAAAGCAGATGTTCGCGGATAAAATGAGATGTTTGCGAATAAAAGCAGATGTTCGCGGATGATTGCAGATGTTCGCGGATAAAATGAGATGTTCGCGGATGAAAGCAGGCGTTCGCAGATAAAAGGATGTTTGCGGGTGAAACCGTATGAAAGCAGATGTTTGCGGATGAAAGCATATGTTCGCGGGTGATTGCAGATGTTCGCGTGTGATTGCAGATGTTCGCGGATAAAAGCAGTTGTTCCCGGGTGACTGCCGATGTTCGCGGATAAAAGCAGATATTCGCGGATAAAAGCAGATGTTGGCGGATAAAATAAGATGTTCGCGGATGAAAGCAGATGTTCGCGGATGATTGCAGATGTTTGCGGGTGATTGCAGATGTTCGCGGATAAAAGCAGATGTTTGCGGGGGTGCACTAACCGGATGAAATCAGGCGTTCGCAGATAAAAGCATGTTTGCGGGTGAAACCGTATGAAAGCAGACGTTTGCGGATGAAAGCAGATGTTCGCGGGTGATTGCAGATGTTCGCGGGTGATTGCAGATGTTCGCGGATAAAAGCAGTTGTTCGCGGGTGACTGCAGATGTTCGCGGATGAAAGCAGATATTCGCGGATAAAAGCAGATGTTGGCGGATAAAATCAGATGTTCGCGGGTGAAAGCAGATGTTCGCGGATGATTGCAGATGTTCGCGGGTAAAAGCATATGCTCGCCGATAAAACTAGACGTTTGCAGATAAAACCCGACAAAAATAGACGAAAAAATATGCAGGTAGTCGTGGATAAAAACAGACGTAAGCAGACGTTTGCAGATGATTCCGGACAAATTCAGATATAAACGAAACACAGTGAAGGCGGTTAAAAACACATGATTGCGGGGGTGCACTAACCGGACATAAAACACAACCAACCGGGTGTTCGCGGATATAGCGATGCGGACAAAAGCAGATGTTATCAGATGATATTTTTACCCGCTTTTATCTGCTTTTATCCGGCTTCGAAGAAGAATTTATACCCGCAATCATCTGCTTTTATCCGGTTTTGACGAAGAATTTATATCCGCAATCATCCGTCATTTTCAGCAGGGTAGTTAAAAAAATCAGATTTAATTTAATAAGATAATTATTACCAAAAAAGTGATATTTTTATAGAAAAATTATTGCAGAATCGTATAAGAAGAAAAATCGAACACAATTGATTTTTTTTCATTACAGCGCCATCTATTCCAAATATGAAAAAATGTTTTAGACAAAATGTACCTATTTTTAGTCGAATGATCTGAATCTGCAATAAAAATTAGGGTGTTTCATTGGAAATTCTAAAGTTACCCCCTGTTCCCCCTATAAGGAGGAGAGTATGAGGACCAATTTTTAAGAATTAAAAATATTTATTGAAATTAAATTTTAAAGGGAAACACAACACTGTGATGAGGTTTCAAAAATAGTTTACTTGTCATATTTTTTGAAAGGATTTTAAATACTAAAATTCTTATTTTTTCGACTTTTTTATTGTACTGTTAAATAAAAAGCATTAAAAAGTCTACAATTTTTACATTACACACATTACAACTGTAGTTTAGCGGTTCAAAAATATTTTTTGATTACAAAAAAATATAAGAATTTTGTTGCCCAGTGTTATTATTTAATGTTTTACTTATGTTATTTGCTGCATTTTTAATTTTTTTTATAACTTTAAAACTTATTATTGGGACCATATTGTATTTCATGTTTATTCTAATGCAGTATATTGTTATATGATTAAAATAAATGAAATTATTTAAACTATTCGTGGTTTTTACTTATTCATGGGATCCAATATTAGGCATATGCCTAGGAAAAAATTAAGTCTCTTTTTTTATAAATTTTTTAATTTTAATTTAATATCATTTAAGGATGTCAAAGACCGATTTTAAAATGTCAGAATTATTTATTAAAGAATTTTAGGATTCAGGCATCTCGTACAGTTCCTAGAAAAAAACAAGATCATGAACTCTTCATTTTAATAATTAATATATTTAATTCCAGTTCTAGGCCCTCAGCTGTCGAAGCCTTAGCCCACCCCTGGCTTAATATCGATAGAGTCCACTCCAATATGGAGCTCAGCAAGTCAAAATTGAAGAGATACGTAATCAAAAAACGCTGGATTAGAGCTGTCAATATGATAGTTGCATTAAAACGAATGGGTGCCAAAATCGACACTGAGTTAATACACATTGAAGATGACGAAAACAAAAATAATATTGCATAATTTTTAAGGATATTTTTTTGATTTTTTTCCTTATTTTCACGGGAAGCTGCATTTTGTTTTAAGGGAAAAATTGTTTCTTGGCTCTTAAATGCAGATTTTTGTGAAAATTACCTATTGGCTTTTTGACATTTCAATTTTTTGAGTGAAATTATGAAATATTTTTTTATTAACTTTTTAATGACGAATAATGCCATTAAAATTTAATATTATTTGTACAATATTTGTACCATTTTTCCATTAATTTTATTTGCGTTAACATTTCTAGTCATTTACGTTCCAACTTTAGCATAACTTTACCTTATTGTTTCTGTATACGAATAAATGTTGTTTAGAAGTTTGTTTATTTTATTATTAGTACCCCTCTGCACATTTTCTTTATGAAGTTAATATCATTTAAAAATCTTAAGTACGTCCCTGCACAATTTCCCAACATAGTCGGCAACGCAGCTGTCAAAAATCCCCAGATCCCCCTAAAAACATAACCTACAATAACATTCACACGTGTGAATGAGCGAAAATGTCGTTTTTCATCAAAGGCAAACAGTCCAATGGCATAAAACGGGCGAAATTCTCAAACGACAAGAACAAAAAGAAGAAATTCACCAATAAACGCGCAAAAGATGAAGAAATTACGAGCAGCGAGGAGGAAGAAATAGAAAAAGAAGAAATCCCTGATCACACGTCGTCTGAAGATGAAAACGAGACCGCGCAGGAAAAAAAGTTGCGTTTGGCGAAAGTTTACTTGGAGGAAATTGAGAGGGAAGAGAAATTGAGGTTGGAAAGTAAGGAAATAGACAACGATGTTATATCTCGTAGACTCAAAGAAGACTATTTAAAGGACGCCGGGAAGTTGCGATTGACAGTAGCAGACACTTATAAAGGTGCGGACAGTGAGAATATTAAGTTTTTAAAGTGTAGGGAGCAGAGGGACTGTATTACATGCGTATGTTTATCAGCGAAAGATGAGTTTTTGTATGCAGGCAGTAAAGACGGTAATTTGGTCAAATATTCCTTGGTAGAGCACAAAAAAGTCGGTATTTTACCGTTTACAAGGAAGAAAAATGATAAACCTACAGGAAATTCTACCAAAGTAAATGCCATTGCTATTTCTAGCGATAGTAAATACCTTGTAACATCTGATGAATCAAATAGCATTCACATATGGTGCCCTGATACTCTAACACATATAAAATCGTTATTGGGCCATAAAAAACCTGTAATAAGCCTAATATTTAAAAAAGACTCGCATCAACTTTACTCAGGGAGTAAAGATCGCACAATAAAGGTATGGTCATTGGATGAAATGGCTTACGTTGAAACCCTATTTGGCCACCAAGACAGCATAACCTCACTTGACGCGCTATACAGAGACCGTTTAGTTTCCAGCGGAGGAAGAGATTTAAGGATATGGAAAATAACAGAAGAAACTCAATTAATCTTCAACGGCCACAATGGGAACATAGATAATGTTAAGCTAATAAACGAAGAAAATTTTATAACTGGTGGTGATGACGGACAAATTTGCATATGGAGTTTAATGCGTAAAAAACCTCTGGCAATTTTAAATCAATCCCATGGTTTGGACTCCACCAATAACCAACCCAACTGGGTGACAGCCATAACCTCATTTTTAAACACAGATTTGGTTGCTACAGGTTCAAATAACGGTTTTGTTAACGTTTACAAGCTAGAAAATAATTTTAAGAACGTAAAATTACTTTTTACTATTCCCATGTTGGGTTTTGTTAATACTTTGAATTTTACCTCCGATGGTACCAAATTAATCGTTGGGGTTAGTAAAGAGTACAAATTGGGGAGGTGGAATACAGAAAAAACAGCCAAAAATGGTATTTATGTGGTACCATTGGTAAAAAGTTGATTTTTTATTTATATTAAATGATTTACTGATGTTATTAAATGACTTATTTTTTATTTTGTGTTTTATTTAATTGACTATATAACTCTCTTATTAATAAAAACCCAATGTTGAAAGTAGTTAATAAATAAATAAAAAATTGTAAGTACTAAAAACATCAAAATTTAATTAAGTTTTTTTTTTGTAAAAAGTGTTTTTTATGGCACGCCGTTTTAACATTTATTAAATAATTTTTTAATTTAAAATTTTATTGGTTTAAAATTTTCCTAACTAAAAATTTTAGGTTTACATTTATAAATTTATAATATTTTCAACTATCATGTATTGAAAGACAAAATTTACTAAACTAATTTACTTAACTAACTAAATTTTCTATCAATTTCTAACTTTCATTTTTTAATAAAAATAATTTCCCAAATATAATTTATTTGGGTGGCATTGTGTTAACTTAAATATTTTATAAAATTATTGAGATTAATTTGGTAAAGTTAAATTTTTTAGTATTAAAAAATAGTATCAAGCCATTTAAAATAAAAACACATAAAACATTTTCTACCAAAATAGTTTAAAAAGTTAAATTTTTGTAAACTCAAAACTATTGATAATCAAAAAATATTTTAAATATAAAATGCAACTGTAAAAGTTTCAAAATATTAATTTTTAAAAAATGGAATTTTAATAGGTATTTCATTCTTCAAAATTATTGGTTTGAATTTGTAAAGAGTCATTTAAATGATAGTCGATAAATTTTTAATCCAAAAATTACTACTTTAAAATTTAAAACTTACATTTAAATGTGAAGTGAGAATTTTTGAATTAAAAATTTATCAACTATCATTTAAATGACTCTTTAAAAACTTAAACCAATAATTTTGTAGAAAAAAATATTATAGGTAACTAAAACTTTTAAAAATCAATATTTTTAAACATAAATTTTTACTGTTGCATTTTATATTTAAAATATTTTTTAACTAACAATTGTTTTGAGTTTAAAAAAATTTAACTTTATCAATTTCTGTTAAAACATAATTTAAGTGCTAAACTTTAATCTTTAAACTTTTATCTAATAAATGCTAAAACGGCGTGCCATAGTTTTTCTAACAAACGCCATAAATTAAAACTAAAAATTTATCATAAATTACTTATTTATTAATTGCCAAAATACACTACAGAATTATGAATTGAGGGTCGATGTTAAATCACCCGATTGTACCATTTCTTTGATAATATCCAAACCGCCAATCAAATCGCCGTTCACGTAAAGTTGGGGATAAGTTGGCCAATCAGAGTAAGTCTTTAAACCTTGCCTCACTTCTTCATCAGTTAAAATATCGAAAGTTTCATATTCAGCTCTAAAAAAAACATTATATTATTTATGATATGGAAAAATATTTTTATTTGTTACTTACCCTGTACTTTTCAGAATTTCAATTGTTTGTCTGCTGAATCCACACCGAGGAGTATTACGATCCCCCTTCATAAACAACATAACCTTAGATTTGTTTATAAGGGCTTTTAGGCGATCTTCCAGAGGTAAAACCTTATTATCGCCGCCGCCGGTGAGGTTTTTCTCTATTGTATCAGTAATTTTACCCACATCTACACCGTTAATCCTTGCAATTTCTTTGGAAGATCGGAACAACAAAACTGTCGGAACAGCCTCAATTTTGTGCTCCAAGGAAATCTCAGACAGTTCTTCGGCAGGACAAACGGCAAACTTAACATTGGAAAAGTTTTTATTTTGGGATAGAGTGTCGAATAGTTCGTTTATCTGAGCGCATTGTTCAGCCCAATCCGCAGAAAAGTGTATTGCAGACAAACTTGAGTTCCTAGAAAAAAAATGATACGTAATATAGGTAAAAAAATGCTTTAATCTACAACTTACTTAATTATTTCTTCAAATGATTTATTGTCTGTTAGTATTAGCGGCATTTTTACGTGATTTCACAGATTTGCCCGATTTGAGGTTGGAATTTTGACAGATTGGATATTTTACGCCATCTATGCTCAAATGATTCAGCTAATTTTTAAAAGTGGAGTATTAATAATTAATTCAAGTTTTAAACAGCATTTAATGAAATTAATTTAAAAATTAATGAATACAGGGTGTCCCAAAAGTCGCGACAACAACTTGAAGGTAAATGATCTACTTTCTTCCGATTTCAAAGATCATTAAATTCGGCCCTGGCATGCCAAAATTGGCTCTATCGGACGGGCTCCGTGCAATCCGTGTGATTTCGAATGTAGGTAGGCAAACCAGATTACAAATGCATATAACTGCGCTTTCATTGAAAGTTACATACCTAACTCCTGCCTTTTCTGCGAATTCGAAAAAATGGAATTTCACCTTTACCTTTTGGGAAGCCAATTTTTTACAGCCTGTACATAAAAACAATGATATCTGTCAGACGTTTCAACTTTTTTCCTATTTATACGAAAAAAACAAATAATGTCAATATTTGCAATATAAGTAGAAAAATAATTATGTCAACTGTGAATTTTAGCTACAAATTGGGTAAAAAACATCACACCATTATATTATTGCGAACAAAATAATTTAATTCATATTAGATTACCCACTCGACAAAAAAATAATTTGGTGAATCTAATGAGCACGTCCTTCGTTATATACAAAACATATTCCGGAAATATGTTTTATATATAAATAAAAATGAAATAAATAACACTTGCATTGTTATAAAAGCCTTTACTACATTAAATACCAAAATAAAAGTAATCTGAAAATGTTCGTTCCTTATCTGTTATTCGCTGCCGTTGCTGGTGTTATTGTAAGTAAATTTAAAAGTAATTTTAATAGCTATTAATGCAATAAGACATCTATTTTGTAACGTATTGCATTCAAGACTTTTTGTTACATAATTTTTTTTACAGATTGACCATAATTAAGTTTAAATTATAGAACGCACAGGTTTAGGCTGCAAAATTAATTTAGGCCAATCAGGTTTCAGATTTTTTACCTCCTAGTCTGTAAAAAACTGTCAGATCTATCTAACCTCAATTTCTACATTTAATAATCACTTATAAGTGTATACTCTGTGGTGTATACATTTCGGCCATTTCAAGCGGATGGACGGGACAAATCACAAAACTGTTTTTATAAAAAAAATTGTAGCTAATTTATTATATATTATTTTTGCATCAAAATTGTCAAATATATTCTTCTATTATTAGGGTATACATTAAATAAAAAAAATCACAAGAAATATTTTATAAAAGTAGAGATAATTTCAATAATTGACAGGGATGGACGGGACAAGATAAATCTTTTTTTTTGTCCCGTCAACACCTTTCAATTATTAAAATTATATCTTCTTTCATAAAATATGTCTTGAATTTTTTTTTATTTAATGTATAACCTAATAAAAGAAGAATATTTTTGACAATTTTGATGCCAAAATATTATATAATAAATAATCTACAATTTTTTTTATAATAGTTATTTATGTATTAAGGGCATAATAAGGTTTTTATGGTCCGAGGCGCTATTTCGAGCCCGAGCGCGTTAGCGCGAGGGCTAGAAAAGCGCCGTAGGACCATAAAAACCAGTTATGCCAGCAATGCATACAAAACTTTATGCACGATTAATTTATTATTATTTTTAATATATTATTGTTTTTAAAGACGTTTACGTCAAAGAATTTTTGTTATAATTGTCATATTATAATGTCAACTGACATCAGTCAGTTTTAAAGTTTAAAGATAAATGAAATTGAGGAAGCAGCTGAAAAGGCGAAAAATTGCGGCCTGCTGCCGGTAAAATCAAAATCTTTATACGAAAAAACTTACTTAGAATATATCAAATGGTGTAACATTGTTGTTTTTAATTTTTGACGTTTCATTATAGCCCGCTGGGCCATAATAACGCCCGCGGGCTATAAAAAGACGTTTACGTCAAAGAATTTTTGTTATAATTGTCATATTATAATGTCATCGTGCATAAAAACAGTTTTGTAATTCGTGCGTTTCGCGCGCTTGAAATGGCCGATTTATCAAAAAATCTAAAGAAAACATTTTTGTAGATCAGTTATTTTCAACAAAAATCTACCATTCATTTCAAAGTTGTTACTTTTCTGCAAGTTTACAATTTTAATTTTTTTACAAAACAATAAAATTGAAATAAAAAGGATCTTACTCTCAATAGTAAAAGCTTATACGTAGATAGTATTATTATATTGAGGTGCTCATCAAATAATTTTTAGATTTTAGAAATCCCCATAATATAGATGTATATTAATATAATAAATAACACTAGTTTACAGCCATTTTGCCCACCATGTCTCACTATGATTTTCTTGTGTAGTTTGGCTCACTAAGCGCGAAAATCAATTTTTTGTTTGTTTTTTTAATTTTTTAAGGTGTTTTGACGTTTTAGAGTATACTTCGAGTTCTAACTGAACGATTTGACAAAACAAGCACTTAAATCAAAGGTAATTGAGAAATTTATTTCGTATAGTTTTGGTAATCGGCTCAGTAGTTCGATACTGGCGATTTTATGAAGTTGAAAAAGTCCTTTTTTTACAAAAATCGAGGTAGAAAATTAACATACCTTTCTGGGAAAGATGGAAATCGAAAAGATAATTCCAGTTTGATTTATTTTACGTATAGATTATACTTAAGTATAATCTATAATCTTTAATTAAAGGAAGCTGCTGTTTATAAAAATCCATTGATAAATGGCGAAGTTATGAATTTTTCAGTGAAAGAGCAAAATTAAGTTTTTATAGAATTTTGACGATTTTTCTTCATTTTATTGAATTATATAAAACTTAATATTGAACATTGATTTTTATTTTAAACATTAAATATTGAAATTAAATTATGTACTGAATATTGAACATTGAAGATACTGAAAGTTTTATTTTGTTTTAATAAGCATAGGTTTAAAAAAAATCTGGCTTCTTCTTTGTTTTTTGTTGCTTTCGTATACCTTTTCTCCAGGGCCGTATCTAGGGGGGGGGTTTGGGGGTTCAAACCCCCCCCGAAAGAAAATAAAATCCCAAAATATAAATTTATATAAAAAAAGTAATACACAGTAAAAAGTTACATTTTTGTTGATAGTTTTCATATTTTTTAAATCACTTTCCATATTTAGAAGATCTAAAACTAGTAAAAGACATCGAAACTTCCTCAAAAGCTTTGCCATTTCTTTGAGCGATTATGACTAGTGAGTTTATCATCAGTATGTTAACTGCGTCCACTTTATTTGCTTTTACTCTACCTTTATGCAGAATTTTACAGTCTGTGGATTTTGATCTAATAAGTGCTGTTGAGCATGTGCACATGGATATCCATGGATACTGTTATTAGTCAGGTAAGGAATATGAGACTTAATATAGATCAGGAATTTAGCAATATTTTTAAAAAATCTGAAACACTTATAAAGTCTGTAGATGATCAAGAGTGCATAAAAATTCCAAGAATAGTTGCACGTCAGCAGAATCGTCCTAATGTCATGGTAGCCACTGCAGAAGAATATTTTCGAATTACAGTTGCAATTCCCTTTTTTGACGATTTTATCGAAGAATTGACTGAAAGATTTGCAAATCATAAAAAAACACTTTTATCATTATATTTTCTAGTGCCAACTATGTGCGTTACACACAAAGTAAAAATAGAAGACTTTTCTTTATATGAAGAATTTTTGGACTTTGATACCTTATCTGCAGAGTTAAAGTTATGGAAACAAAAATGGACTAACTTGCCTCAAGCTGGAAGACCAAAAAATGCTATTGACGCATTATCAGCATGCAATCGATCTATATTTCCTAATATACATGTTCTTTTAAAAATTCTTGCTACATTACATGTATCTACAGCTTCATCGGAAAGATCATTTTCATTATTGAGACGTTTAAAAGACTATTTGCGGAATTCAACTGGTCAAGAACGTCTAACAGGTCTGGCCCTTTTAAGTATGCATAGATACCATAGATACCACAGAGGTCTTAAATCGTTTTGCGAGAGAAAAGCAGAGAAATATTCCTTTATTATTATAATTATAATTATTATTTTTTAAATTTTAAAGTTAAATGTTAAATATATTTATCTACTCCTACATTGACGAGCTGTAACTTTATGGCGTTTTATTGACGGGCTGAAGTTAACAACAGTGGCTTTTCGACATTTTACGTCACAGGCTGAAGTTATCTTTATTATAAATTGGGAAAAAGTGAGGTTAAATTCGGGTGACAGTTGACAGATGTCAAAATTTTAACAAATAAAATTGGCTTTAAATTCTGTTTTGTGTTTGTCGTAGATAAAGTATAGTATGCAACTCGTTTATAAACTTCTCTAGACACTCGTTTTTATTAAACACTCGCTCGCAAGCTTCGCTCGTGCTTAATTAAACTCGTAACTAAAATGGCGTTTATAAAACTTGAGACATAATATACTATTAACCTGTTTTTTTTTCATTAAAACCCATTTAAACATAATAGTTTTATTTTAAACCTTTAAAATTTTTTTCAAATGCCACTGGTCTAACCCCCCCCGAAATTTAAGTCTAGATACGGGCCTGCTTTTCTCGTATGAGGGACCAAATTTAATCACCCATCATGGCTGCATCCCAGAAGCCGTGATACCGCCGCTCCATAGCCTTCATTTGCTGGTGAAAACGTTCTCCGTGCTCATCACTTACGTCTCCCAGATTGTCCGGGTTATTTAGGCACTCGAACTCTCTACTTAAAGTAGACTACTTCTTTTACTCATTTTACACTTTTTATTAACTAAATAAAACCATGATAAAAATACCTTGTTGAAATTTCAAAAAAGAGAACAAAATAAAATAAAAATTATAGTATGCACCTCGTTTATGAACTTTTCTATACACTCATACATAAAATGGCGTTTATCAAACTTGATACATAATATACTATTAATGTTACAAGTTGGATAATACATTGACGTTTAATTTCATTGCGTTTGCCTTTTTCATTTCAAAACTCCATTTTCAAAAAAACAATTATTTTTTTCTGAAGTGCTACCAGGGTCTACCATTAAACAATTTCTAGGCACAACCCCCTCATCCTCCTCATGGTATCTTCCCCGCAATCTTCCAAAAATTATCAAACGGAACCATCGAGGATTGCAGAACGTCTTCTGGAGTGGAAGAATCCGATTTTAAGGCAGTCAAATTCGGTGCAGGCGGAAAGCCAAACGAAAAAATTATGTGTTTCTCGAAATGTCTTCAAGAAAAAGCGGGAATTCTGGGCGAGGATGGCACAATAAACGTGGACGTCATAAAGCAGATGCCCAAGCCTCCATATATGACCGATGAGTTAGTAACTAAGATAGAGGAGTGCCTCATGGGCATCGGAAAGATCGAGAAATGTGCTGATATAGAGAAAATGGATGAATGCATGATGAAGAAAAATTGAAAATAATTATTATCTTTAATTGAATTGTTATGATAATTATAATTATTACTATAATAAATAAATGTTTATATTTCATTACTAGCCTTATTATATAATATTATATAATACCATTACCCACCCAAGCAGCATTTTTGGTTCCAAAAACCATTACCAAAGTGGTGATAGCTTTAAATTAGTCCCTGATGGCAAAATTTGATTCTAAGAATCTTCTAAGAAGATATGACCCGGAATAATGGAATATTCTTTGAATCTTCCCTTATTGCTAAGAATGTTCTTAGGGACTTTTAAAACATTCAATAGATACCCTTTTAATGATGCAATTAGATTCTTGGAAGCTTCTTAAAACCTTCCTAAAAAGCATTCTAAGAACATTTTAAGAATACGTTATTGGAATGTTCTTAGAAGGTTTCTTATGGAGCTTCTAGGAAGCTTTTGAGAATATTTCCAAATATGTCAGATACCCACGTTCTAATATGTTGGATACTACATTCGTAAAATTTTTCAGGAGGCGACAAATACGCCTCACTGTCATAATATGACAGTGAAATGTATTTGTCGTCCCCTTAAAAAAAATTTCGACATATTAATATATATTTATTTAAAAATATTAAATAAACAATTTGACCTCTAAACCATAAGTTGTATGACATTATTTCATAAAAAGGAAAATTGGAAAATTTTGTGGGATAAGTCAAATTGGATTGAAGTTGAAGATAGTTAGGATCAGTGCCGGTTAAAGTTAGTTTGCCGCCCGGTTCTGGCACCAACACAACGCCCAATGCTTTAAAATATTACTTTTTTAAAAACATTTTTAAATTTTTAAGTCTTACTTTCTCACGTCAAGTGGAAGATTAGGTTGGTTAGGCTGGTATTTAACAGTAAACTTGGTATCCTATAAAATATAAAATGAGCCTTTATAAACAAATTATATAAACTAATCAAAAGCACTAACTAAAAAATAAAACATTCTTTGGTTTATATAAACAATACTAAGTACTAAGAAAAACTAATTAAAAAATAAAAGTTTAATATTTTGTTTCATTAAACTAATAAAAACTAATCAAAAGTTATAAATAAATAAAACATTATTCTTTGGTTTAAATAAATATTGAGAAATCCTAATACCAATAATTAAAAGGTTGTTTTCAAGTCTTTATAGTAGCAAATTGTTTTATAACACTTTACATTTATTTCATCTAGCAGGTCTTGATAAATGGACAGAATTGCTAAGGAGTTAAATCTTTCTTGGGGAATTGTATTTCTTAGGTAGTTCTTTACCCTTTTTAGAGTAGAGAAAGTTCGTTCACTACTTGCATTTGAAACCATTATAAAAAAAAATTCGAAGACAAATATTAATATTCGGAAATGAAGATATTAATTTATTTTCGTATAAAACTTATACTAATTCCAATGGAGTTTCTATTTTTATTTCCGAAAGGGAAATTACCAGTTTCTCATCCAAATTCTCCACGAAGATTTATGCTTTTAGATTAAACAAAAATTCAAATTTGTTTGTGCCAGATTTCTAGCTATCATATCGACAAATGATTTTGGATTATAGATTGTCAATTATTAAAATAAAACATGTTCGCATTGTTTCTTTTTTGCTTAAACTTGCCTCTGAATTATTTTCTTTAAATTGTAATTTTCTTATGATTATCCGCTTCTGAGCATAATTTTCGTTTCCTGTTAATTTCCTCGTAATGATCAAAATGATCACGTAAAAAATCAAAGTTCTCAACTAAAATTGACAAAAGATGAGCATTTGTGCTTAAATCCATATTTTGTTTTTGGACTGCTTTATTGGTTTCATTAACCCTTTGCAAAACGTCTATCCAAAAAGTTAAAATTATTCCGTTTCCAATAAATCAAGTTTTTCTGATGGAGAAGCTGCTTCAACTCTAACAACATTTTTCTCATTTGTATCCGTTGTATCCGCCGACGCAGTGTCGCAATAATTTTTTTTCTAAATTCTAACGATTAAGTATTTTTTTTTAAAATTATGGGCGATACGCGGTACCGCCCCAAAAATATTTACCGCCCGGTGCTATAGTCCCCAAAAAACCCCTGTTAAACCGGCACTGGTTAGGATTATTATACATAAAATTGTTAATTCAGAAATAAAAAATCGGTAGGTATACAAATTAATAAATATTTATTTTTAACATAAAATAAAACATAAAAGAACAAAATATTTCCTTATAAAATAATTCTTCATAAAAGAAAAAAACAAATAGTTCCTCATAAAAAAAACATTTTTCATTGTATTTAAGTTGGATAGAAGATTTTATGTAAAAGCCGGATAATTTAGATACCTATAGTAAAAGTATTTTTGTTATCGAATATTGTTTTAATTTGACAAATAACTATAAAATAGTATATTAAAGTACAAGTTGCAGAAGGCCACATATTCTCGCACGAATTCGAAATTTGGCCTCGAGCGACGAAGGAGCGAGTGGACGAACGAATGAGTGCCAGAATAGCCTTCTGCAACGTGTGATTTATACTATTTTCTCGATTTTAACTTTTATTTAGGTTTTTTTAATTGTTTTGTGGTCGTTGTTAGTTAGGGGATTTTTCTCGCAAAATGGCAGTTGGCAACACAAAATGACAATATTTGTTATCCTGCACAAGTACAACCTGAACTGCACTTTTTTACATTAAACTTAAAATTTTGCATTAAAATGCATTGTTGGAGCAAACTTAATATTACAAAACAATAATAAAGGCTTCATTTTCAATAAAAGTAATGAATTTGAGGTTATTAATCAGTTTGACATTTTGGGGGTACCAATACTTAAAAACTAAATGTTACCAAAAATCGTTTAAGAATGAGCTTCATTCTTCAACGATTTTGCGTGCGAGAATATGACATTCTTACATAAAAATCGAGAAAAATATTTTTTCGGTTGTGTTTTTACTTACTATTTAATACTAAGTATAGGTACCTTTATACGTAGATTATGGTATATTTTACTATTATATAGGTACCTAACTGAACTGAATATGCTTAACAGAATGTTCCGGGAAAATTCCTAAATGAACTTTCTAAAGCAATTACTTTCTCAACATTCCAAGCATATGTTTAGAGTGGATTAATTTTTACCACTAAACTTTGCACCTTCTAAGAACCTGCCTATAGGCCAGTGAGAATATTTTTAGGATTATGCTATATTTCTTTTAAGCATGTTCTTTAGAAGAAATATAGCATGACCCTAAGAATATTCTCACTGGAAGGTTTATAAAACATTCTTAGAATAAACTGTGCTATCAGGGAATAGACGGTATTAATAATTAAATTAAAAATTAATAATAAATATTAAGATTTTTTTATTTATAAACATTATTAAATAAATAATTTGTTTATACTTAAATATTGATGAAGCGCATTTATTTTACAAAAACTCATAATTCATAAGTTTAACAGTAAATTTACCTGCCTAATTAAACATTATATTGTTATAAACTACCAAGACATATTTAATAAACGACGAAATTGAAAAGCCAAGTCCGTAGTGGTTCCATTAAAAAAAGGAGGGATAGTATAATAGTATTTCTATTTCTATTGAAACGTTTTATAAAACTATATTAACTTAGCAGCTACGTTCCAAAGAGTAGCAGGGTTTATAGCTAGTGACATATTTGCTACCTTTTTGGAACTCAATAATTGTTCCCCACTTTAGTGGTAGATTAGTAATGAAAGAGTAATATAAAGAGACCGGCGACTGCCGCAAAACACTTTAAAGTTTCTTCAATAGGCCCATATATATATACGTAACGTATACGTAACAAATACTTAAAACAAATACTTAAATTGTTAAATACTTAAATTGTTAACATCTTAAGACGTCCAGTTTACGACGTAAGTCATCTTTAAGACGTCTTTAAGATGTCCTTTTAACGGCATTATTAAGTCGTTGCTAAACGTCGTCAAGACGTCTTTAAGATGTTAAAGACTACCTACCTATTGAAAACGTCTTGGTTATGCATTGCTACATCGCCAAAACGTTTTTAAGGTATTAAGTAATTAAAATGTAACTAATTCAAAGTAGAACACAAAGTCTACTCTGTGGTAGCTAATAATGTATACTTCTATTTAAAATAAAATAAATTAAATTGTTACATATTTATTTCTGCCTATTATTTCAAATCAATAGAGTCAAAACTTCTTGTCAAGTAGTACCCTTCTGTCTAAAGCCCTTCTTGAGTGTATTATAGGTGGGTATCAGGGTCAGAGGCCGAATACCACTCGTGATAAAATTTTTCCTGAAATTTTTTTTTGATTTTTATTTACTCAAGATTTTTTCTTGGAAATTTCGCTCGTGGTCTTAAAAATTAATGCCACTTCAAAAATGTTGTCATTAAAATTTTACCACTATAGATAGATAGCACACAACGTCTTGAAGATGTCTTTTGTATGTCTGTATTATGCCTGAACGCCTGAAGATCTAAAAAAAGACGTCTAAAAGACGTCTTAAAGACGTCTAAAAGACGTCTTAAAGACGTCTTAAAGATATCTTCATTTAATGTTCTAAAGACATCTTATAAATGCCTGATACCGCCGCTTATTTTTTTAAAGTTTTTTGATGAAATAGTGAATTTTTTGACAAGTCAAAATCGAAATTATATCCCATAATAAGCCACTTCATTAAGATATAATTAGGTACCATCTGATTTTGGTGTAATAGAAACAACATTAATGTAGGATTTTGAGTTTTGACAACGATGATGGGTAGGGTAACTGAATAAATATATATCTGACATTTTTGTAGATTGGCTATTTTTTCTACAATTATGTAATAATATCCATTAATTTTATTACACAATAGAAAAAATCTTTTTACGACATTGACCCAATAATTAAGGAGCGGAGAATGGGAAAAAAATTAAATCTGGTGAATTTAATTTATTGACATATCGATTTTTGCGGATGAGTGCGAAGGTTTTCCAATTCAATTTGCACAAGCCCTTCTGGCAAATTGCTGCAGATAAAATCGTGAGCCCGTTTTGTATGGGCCCGCATTGAAGCTCGATGAAGGGCCACTTCAGAGTCA